TGGAGATGCTTTTGGATTGGACTCCTATCCTCACACCCGGTGTGCCAGCTAGTAACAATGAGATTTGTACTCCATCCCATCTGCCAGATTGGAAAAGGCTACTCCAAGAGTTCATGAATTGACCTTCCCTCCAGGTGTTTTAGACTTCAACTCCCACATTTCCTAACAGCCTCAAGCCCGTTCCTTTTCCCCCTCAGTCACTCAGTCACCTTGGCATGCTGGGCAATCTGATCCGAGTAATTCTGACAGATTCCCCTGGCATTGTCTTTCACCTGTTGGAATGTCTTGCTTTGCATGTTCCCTGCTAAGCCTGTGGCTCTGTAAGCCCCTTTATATCCTTCTGCACTGAAGCTTAATTCCTTTCCATGTTAGGAGTGATAAAATCCTCTCCTCTTTTTAGGGCTTAGAAATATAAGCTGCTCTTATATCAGTGCCTCCCTTCCCTGGAACTGTGCAAACGTCTTTTTTCTTCTTTTTAAATTCCTCCTGTCCTTATAATTAAGTGATGACTATTGGCTTCCATCTCCATAGGAGTGTTGAATCTCCTCTGGGTTTTAGTCCAAACTTTAAAAGACCTAACCATGTGCAGAACCAATTATGGAGCTAGGTTTCAGCCCTTAAGTGAGCTCAGAGTTCACAGCCAAATTCCAAGCAACTGACCTGGAAGCCATCGGCAGCTGCTATTCCACATACTGGTACCAACTCCAGTTTCTTTGAAGGCACTCTAACCACAGTCCATGGAATAAAGAAGTCTTCCTCAAGAAATAGGGATTAAAATATTGCTCATAAAGATGTGGGTGAGATTGGCAGAGATTTTGATTCCATTTATTTTTCCCCGCTGAAGTCATTTAACAGAGATACAGTAGAGTCTTGCCTATCCAAACTTTGCTCATCCAATGTTCTGTATTATCCAACGCAGGCTGCCTCCCTCCCGGATTCACAGCTGTTTCAATACATAGCAATGTTTTGGTTCTAAATTCGTAAATACCGTGACTGCTTCTTAGCAGGGGGTTGGACTGGATGGCCCATGAGATCTCATCCAACTCTATGATTCTATGATTCTACTACATACGAGGGTTGAATGAAAAGCAATGCCTGCACCTTCGCAACTCCTCAACAGATGGCGGTACTGGTATGCGGCAGGTACTGCCTTGTTCAGTAGACTCTCCTCTACAGTTCCATTTTGGCAGGAAGCCTTAGCATTGAACGGTTGTGTTATTAAAGTGCGAAGTATGGAACCCTGCATAGACGGTCAGTCAGTGCGACTTAAACAACGTGAAGTCATTGAATTCTTGACAGCAGAAGGTGTCACCTGAACATCTTTAAACTTACTCACCCAGTGACACACAGTAGTCACATCAACACAATCACCATAAACAGCTTGCATTCTCTGATGAATCTCCTTTGGGGTGACACCTTCTGCTATCAAGAATTCAATGACTGCACGTTGCTTAAGTCGCCTTGACCAACCATCTTAGCAGGGTTCCATACTTCGCACTTTTACAATACAACCGTTCAATGCTAAGGCTTCCTGCCAAAATGGAACTGTAGAGGAGAGTCTACTGAACAAGCCAGTACCTGCCGCATACCAGTACTGTCATCTGTTCAGGAGTTACAAAGGTGGAGGCATTACTTTTTATTCAACCCTCATAATATTGCTGTGTATTGAATTGCTTTTTCTGTTGAATTTGTTGTAAAATATGAAGGTTTGGTGCTTAATTTGTGAAATCATAATGTAATTTGACGTTTAATAGGCTTTTCCTTAATCCCTCCTTATTATCCAACATTTTTGCTTATCCAACGTTCTGCCAGCACATTTATGTTGGATAAGCGAGACTCTACTGTACCTCCAACATTTCATAGTTAAAACCAAATAATAATAATAATAATAATAATAACAACAACAACGTTATTTACACCCCACCACCATCTCCCCGAAGGGACTCGGGGTGGCTCACACGGAAGCACTACTAGTTCCGAGCAAAAGATGAACAATACATAAACATACAGACTATAACAATATCAATTACAATAGCAAACATGCATAAAATGACACATAGTAAAATTATTAAAATTCATAAAAATACAGCAGATAAAACTGGCAGTCTTAAAATTAGCAACTCAAGTGCCAGAGTGAAGTCACTAAGTCCTCACATCTAACCATTAAAATCTACTCAAGGTCAAAGGCCTGTCTAAAAAGCCAAGTTTTTAAGACTCAGACCGAAAAGCTTGGAGAGAGGGGGCTAACCTAATCTCTCTAGGGAGAGCATTCCAGAACCAGGGCGCCGCCACCAAGAAGGTCCTCTCTCGTCCCACCAGCCAAACTTGAGATGGTGGCAGGACCGAGAGAAGGGCCTCTCTGGCAGATCTCAGAGCCTGCGCTGTTTCATAGAAGGGAGATGTGGTCTCGAAGATAGATGTATGGCCAAGAAGCATGAATGTGCGGTCAAACTGGCAAAATTCCATAATGAGGAAAAACACACAATCTAGGAGTGGCTGCAGCAGTTTGCTTTTGCCTTAGTTTCCTGGGAAGGGAACCCCATTTTCTCCTTTCCATGTTGGTTGAAGCTTCTGAAAACTCCAGTCCAGAAGCATGTCACAGGCCAAAGATTCCCTGCCCTTGACACAGCTAAACTTGCATTTATGTATGGTATGGATGCAAATTTTAACTTTTTTGGTGATGTGCTTTGTCTTTTTCGAAAAGTTGTAAATGACCACCACAGAGTCTGGAGAGTTCCTTTTTAAACAATTTGTTTCTGATGCTTTTTTCAGTGTTTTAAATGGTAACTTGTTGTGTGTTACCATTTTGAATGAGTAACTCATTGCTTTCCCCATTGTGTTGTTGTTGTTTTTACTTTGAAATGTTACTTTTATTTGGAATTTTTTTCCTTGGGCTTGGTAACGGAATGTCAGTAATGTGACATGTGCCTATTGACATGCCTTTTTAATGATCTTTGACAGTAGCTTTCAAAAGAAACTTGAATATGGTACTCCTGGCCCCATTTCCTTTCTTGCCCAGAGCAGAGCAATCAAGGCGCCTCTATGGAAGGCCATCAGTTGCACGCTCCCACACTCCACCCAAGACATGTGTCAACATTGCAGGAGATGTGCTCGTAAAAAAGTTGTTAACAGGCTCCCGGGTAAAAAGTCTTCTAGAATAATGGATCCTCCAGCTGCTGCATTTCTTCTTTCTTCCCCCCCCCCCCCCTTTCTGGCAATTCAAGACTGCGGTGGCCCAATTAAGGCCATAAAGGACAGTGCAAGGGACGTGACACTGACAGGAATGAGGTTGAGTGACAAAAGGAGGGCTTTAGCCTCTGGTGGTACAAACAACACAACTCTAAAGTCTTATTTTGTAAATTACTGTTGTGTTGTCGAAGGCTTTAATGGCCGGAATCGCTGGGTTGCTGTAAGGTTTTCAGGCTGTCTGGCCATGTTCCAGAAGCATTCTCTCCTGACGTTTAGCCTGCATCTATGGCAGCCATCCTCAGAGGTTTTGAGGTCTGTTGGAAACTAGGAAAATTGGGTTTCTATATCTGTGGAATGTCCAGGGTGGGAGAAAGAACTCTTGTCTGTTGGAGGTAGGTGTGAATGTTTCAATTGGCCATCTTGATTAGCATTTAATGGCCTAGCAGTTTTCAATGTGTGATTTCTTACTGCCTGGGGGAATCCTTTGTTGAGAGGTGATTAGCTGCCCCTTGATTGTTTCTTGTCTAGAGCTTCCCTGCGTTTATTTACTGTTATAATTTTAGAGTTTTTTAATACTGGTGGCCAGATTTTGTTCATTTTCATGGTTTCTTCCTAAATTACTATTCTTTTTGTAGTAAATGATCCATTGCAATTTGCAACACTTAATCTCTCAAAAGAGAAACAGAGAGTTGACCCACTCTTTTTGGCTGAGCAAGTCTCCTACGGTTCTAAACAGGTACCTTGTCAGGGAGAAGGTCAGCCTCCTGTTGTGCTTCATCCCTCAGCTACAAAAAGACGCATTTAGGAATCGAGGAAGCTGCCATATAACAGCTTAGACTGCTTGCCCATCTTTTAGCCTAGCACCTTCCCCAACATGGTAAAGGTGGAAAGGGGCCACAAGGGCCAACCCTTTTCCATGCAGGGATGCACTCCCAAAAACAGCCAGCCAACCTGTTTAAAGAACTCCAAAGGCCCCTCTCAGAGACGGTTTATTTCATTGTCAAGCTGTGCTTATAAGTGAAGACATTTCCCCTAAAATTTAAGTAAAATCTCTTTTCTTATAACTTGAATCCATTGCTCTGTGTCCTAGTCTCCGGAGCAGCAGAAAACAAATTTGCTCCATCTTCTACATGACATCCCTTTAGATCAGGCATGGGTAAACTTGGGCCTTCCAGGTGTTTTGGACTCCGACTCCCATAATTCCTAACAGCCTCAGGCCCCTTCCTTTCCCCCCTCAGCTGCTTAAGCGGGAGTTGGAGTCCAAAACACCTGGAATTGTGGAATTGTGGGAGTTGGAGTCCAAAACACCTGGAGGGCCAAAGTTTGCCCATGTCTGCTTTAGATATTTAATGATGGCTATCTCTCCTGTTCATCTGATGCTTCAGACAATGCTTAAGGGCATTGGTCAGCATGATGAGGATTGCTGAAATGTCTGAGCAAAAGGCAGTGCTACTCTGTCTAGTAGAAGTTTCTCATAGTCCTGTTAATGGAATTATAAATACTGGAGTTAAAACATGGGACCTTTGAAATTCAAAACACGCTTTCTACCATTCAGCCGTGTTCTTTCCTCTTGGAGACCTTTTGCTCTTTAGACCTTTGAAGGCCTTTCCACCTACACTTTCGAGCTTATCTCTGCAGTCTTGAAGACAGAAAGTCTGAGAAAGATGGCCAAAAAACCCCCTCTGCTGTACTTTTTGTGCTCTGTGCCAGCTTCAAAGCTCGAGTGATGTCATCGATCCTACATATTAGCTTATCTCTAACCAGCAGGGTTTAATACTATGTGCTCCTCTCTTTCCTCTCCACCCACCCAGGTGCCACCCTCGGGTCGGCAGTCGCCAACCAAGCCTTTGTTGAATGGAAGCCCTTCCAAGTGCCCACGCTTTGCAAAAGTGAGGAACTGGGAGAGTGGCTCTGTACTCAGTGACACTCTGCATCTGAAGAGTACCATGGTAAGTGGGGGGGGCATCCTTTTCTAGGCATGCTTTGCCAAGATAATAGGCTGCCTGTCTGATAATGCTTTAGGCAGCTGAGGTTTGGTATCATGAAAAGGTAGTCCCCTAAGATCCTTAACTGTAGACTTTAACAGAAATGCATTGGAACACAGCACTGTGCCTCCTATGCAAATAATAATAATAATAATAATAATAATAATAATAATAATAATACACTTTATTTATTATTATTATTATTATTATTATTATTATTATTAAACTTTATTTGTACCCCGCTAGCATCTCCCGCAGGACTCGATGCGGCTTACAAAGGCCAAGGCCTCAACAAACAATACAACAATACAAAACCTAGGCAAATTAAACAAATTAAGCAAATTAATATTTATATTCCGCTTTATCTTCCCAAGGGGACTCAAAGTGGATTACAGTATACACACATATAGGTAAACATTTAATGCCATTTATACAGTGAACAGCAATGACATACAATACACAAACAAAGGCAAAGTTTTCCCTTTTCATCTCTGTCGTCTGGAGGCGATACTCAACTCTGGCCATGGGGAGGTGGTCTTGTTCCATTTTCCATGCTGTCCCTAGACCCCTCTTGGTCAAGTTGCCAGCATGGCTGCATGGCGCCTTTTACCTTCCTGCTGAGGCGGTACCTATTAATCTACTCACATTGCATGTTTTCGAATGCTAGGTTGGCAGAAGCTAGGGCTAACAGTAGGAGCTCACCCTGACCCATGGCTTCGAACTGACAACCTTCTGATCAGCAAGTTTTTCTGCAGGTAGTGGTTTAACCCGCTGTGCTACCGCGGGGCCCACAATGTGTCCTATAAGCCAATGTGTTGCTCTCAGCTGTAAGTAAGACTAATACTGAACTTCTTTTTGTTCAGGTTGGCAGCCACAAACAACATCTGGGATAAACTACATACTACAACCAGACTTTGTACAGTAAGTCTGGTTGGAATAGGAGAACACTATATTGCCCTTTGCTTCAGAGAGAAAAATATATCCCAGTTTCCCACAATGCTCTGGGAAGATGCTAAGTCAGATGCATTGTTGGAAAAACAGTCATCAGCAACACTGGTGATAGCTGTGTAAGAATACCAAATGTATTAGCCCCAATGCCACCAGAGCCCCCAGTGGTGCAATGGGTTAAACCCTTGTACCGGCAGAACTGAAGACCTGAAGGTCGGAGGTTTGAATCCGGGGAGAGCACGGATGAGCTCCCTCTGTCAGCTTCAGCTCTCCATGTGGGGACATGAGAGAAGCCTCCCACAAGGATGGTATAAGATCAAAACATCCAGGCGTCCCCTAGGCAACGTCCTTGCAGACGGCCAATTCTCTCACACCAGAAGCGACTTGCAGTTTCTCAAGTCGCTCCTGACATGAAAAAAGCCCCAATAACAAGCCTCTTCACATCCTTGTTTGTTCTACATATTTGCCATGTCTCCCCCCCCCATCCCCCGAATTCCAAATTAACCAGCAGAATTTCTAAGACATTAATTCTGAAATTGAGCCATCAGCAATTTTCTGCAGGACTCAGATCTTCCATTTGTTCTCAACTCTCTTCCTCCTTCCCTGCACCCCAAGCTCTCTTCCTGACATGCTCTGTACCTTAAGAAATCCTTGTAAATAAATGCCACTTCAATGCAAATGTCTATATGATTTGCATCAAGGTTGTCTTTATGCTGTCTTTTGTTGACACCATATATGCTCCTGCAAAAAAAATGTATCTCGCACAAAGCTCCTTGATGCTGCCACGTGTCCTGTCATTGTCAAGAAGGTGCTTTGCTGTTTTAGCAGTGCACACAAGCACATGTGCACCGGGATTGGGGAGACGTCAGTAAAGATGGGGATGAATGCGCATGAATGAGCCAAAGAACATAGGCCCCAGACTAGATGCAATGGGAGAGGCGTGTTTGTACTTGATGCGTACTTTCTTTAAAATGCAAATAGAGGTTGTAGTTGGAAACATCAGAAGAAAAGAGCATGGAAATATCAAGCCAGGAGGCTGCAGCTGTGAAAAAGAGGAGGATTGTTAAAAGAGAGGAGGTGAAAATAAAACAAGCAATATCATTATGCCTTCATAAAAATCTATGAAGAATCCACACTGGGATGACTGTGTACAATTCTGATTTATGGAATTGGAAAAAGAATATAGCAGAGCCTGTGTCGTCGAGTGGTTTGAGTGTTGGACTGTGTCTCTGGAGAACAGGGTTTGAATCCTTGTTCAGCTGCAAAAAAAAAAAAAACCCCACTGGGTGACCTTGGGCAAGTCCCCTCAGGGGTGAGAAAGGTGGTATATATATATAAATAAATAAATAAATAAATAAATAAGTCATACACTCTTAGCCTCAGAAGCTCCCATGATACCGTCTTCTTAGGGTCACAATAAGACAGAAACAATTTGAAGGCACACATCAAGAAAAGGTACAGAAAACACAAATAAAACAATCAGAGACTGGCAGAACTGTTCTATAGAAGAAAAAACAGGTGAGGTGTATACATTTATGAATGGTATGGAGAAAGTCAACGGGAAGATCTTCTTCTCTGTCTCCAATAACCATCAAATGAAATGTATGGAATTTCAGGCAAATAAAAGGAAATGCTTTTGGATTTAGTATGTAGTTTATCCCAGATGTTGTTTGTGGCTGCCAACCTGAACAAAAAGAAGTACCTGGTCATACTATACCTTATTTAGGGACAGAAACCCTACAGCCTTCCAGATATTGCTTAACCCTGTTCAATGTACCTGATGGTGAGGAATGATAGAGGTTGCCCTTCAGCAACATCTTTGAGGGGGAGCGGAGGAAACACAGTAGTAAATTGGTTTCTGTGAGCTGCAATAATTGCAGCCAACTTGGATGGTTGTAAAGAAGAATTAGACAAACTCAGGCATCCATGGTTGCTTGTCATGATGGCGGTTACTCCCTTCCAGCATTAGAGACTGGAAGTAAGGTATAGCTATCATGTCTTATTGGTGGAATTCCCAGAGATGACCAGTTGGACTTAAATGGCCTTTGGTTTGATCCATCAGGGCTCTTACTATATTCTTAGACTGTGATTAGAGCCAGAAAAATGATGTGCGCTGTAGTAGCTACTATTCAATAGCAATCTGACTAAGCCATGGCTTATTAGATTTCAAACTAGAATCATACCAATGCTATACTTCCTTGCCTAATCTCATTCACACTCACCTTCAGTGATCATACTGCATTGAACCACAGTTTCCTGTTGCTGCCAAACGGGATAAATCTCAGGCCCCCAATTTTGGATATAATAGAAAATCATAGTTTAACAATCCACAATAGGAACCACGCCATCTACTTTTACTTAGCATAGTATGGAACCGGCATATGAAAAACAAGGCATATCACATGATAGCTGGGCCCACTGACCATTTTCTTTGTTGATACGCTGCATTATTATAACTAACCTCCACAGCAAGTTATCAAGATGTGCTCTTCTGCCTTGTATTTTCTAGGTGACACCTTGCAGTGAGCAGGTCTGCATGGGCTCCATTATGATTCCTTCCCAGCATGTCCGGAGGCCAGAAGAAGTCAGGACTAAAGATCAACTACTTCCACTGGCTAAAGAATTCATTGATCAGTACTATTCATCCATCAAGAGGCAAGTCTTGTGGCTGGACAGTCTGAGCTGCTGTTGGCAAAACCACAGAGATTTCTAAACCACCAAGCTAGCCAACTGAACTAGCTTTCCTATGGCTAGAACACAGAATTCGTGATGCAGCTTATTATGGTTCTGATTGTCCAGTTTTACATCTCTATCCTCTTTTGGCTGAGGACACATCTATTTGTATTTGTATCTGAGCTTAGAAAAACCCACTTTCATGGACTACACAGCTCCCAGAAACCTCTAGCCAGTGCGATCAGGCCTGTAGCAGAAGGTGGATTAACCAGTGAATGAGTTAACCAGTTAAAATTCATGAGTAAGCCAGCTTTTTAAAAACCAGAAACATTTCGGAGGGTGGGGGGGGGTAACCTTTAACACACATCCCCTGGCTTAAACCCCGAGTACGGTCAGTGGTTATGCTATTATGTATTTAAAACATTTATATTCCGCCCTTCTCACCCCAAAGGGGACTCAGGGCAGAGCACAGCATATAAACAGCAAGCATTCCATGCTGGAACATAAAATAACTATAAATATACACAAACACTAAAAACAGATACATCTACTTTAAATCAGATATTTAAAACCATCTCAAAACACCATGCTAGTTGGGAAATTCTGTGAGTTCTAGTCCAAAAATGTTACGTTCATAAGTTTGAATAGGCATCCATGTTGAAAAGAAGAGTGTACATTTGTATAGTGCCACACAGCTTTGTCTAACACCTTGGTACTGTTGAAAGCTGATGGCTTCTGTCTCTAAACTGACAGGTTTGGTTCCAAGGCCCACACAGAGAGACTGGAGGAAGTCACCAAGGAGATTGAAGCTACTGACACTTACCAACTGCGAGATACAGAACTGATCTATGGAGCTAAGCACGCCTGGCGTAATGCTTCCCGCTGTGTGGGAAGGATTCAGTGGTCCAAGCTTCAGGTGAGGGCACGGTTGCCTTGTGTGCAGGTGGCAGAGAAGAGTATGGCAAATGAGCATCAAACTGAGAACTGGCAGGGAGGCTTCTGATTTAGATAAGGAAAGTTGCTCTCCCAGAAGGTTTGAACAAGTTGGTTTCAAACTAAAATGATTCACTGGGTTGCTGTGAGTTTTCCGGGCTGTCTGGCCATGTACCAGAAGCATTCTCTCCTGATGCTTCACCCACATCTATGGCAAGTATCCTCAGAAGTTGAGAGGTCTATTGGAAACTAGGCAAGTGAGTTTTATATATCTGTGGAATGTCCAGGATATATAAACCTAATATATAACCCTGGCCAGAGAGCCCAGAAAACTCACAGCAACCCAGTGATTCCGACCATGAAAACCTTTGAAAATACATTAAAATGATTCAGTCTTCTTCAATTGGTAGAACACTGGCTAACACACATTTTGGTATCTCCAGTGTTAGTCCTGCTTCTGAGTATATTTGATCTGCTGATTCCAAAAATGGCACCTGTTTTCCCCCATCAGCTCTAGTTTTTGAGATGCAGAACATATGCCATATGCCAGACACCATCTGCTCACCCATAGGACATCATGGTAACCATATCTAAGAAACTAGAGCTGACGCAACCTATCCAATGCAATTTTCTGAATCAGTGCCCCTCAGAACCCCAGGAGCAGGCCTAAAAATCAAGACATCAAGGAAAAAAATGATAATCAAGGGGCTGGAGAAAGCTTAATAAGAGTATTCTCAAGAAATAAATGCCATTGCCTCCAAGGGGAACAGACCAAGAAGAGTGATGCCAAACTGTTTTTACCATTCAAACATTCCTCCAAAGCTTTAAGCAAAATCTCCTTTCCTGCAACTTAAGCCCTTTATGTTTTGCCCTGCCCTCTGGGACATCAAAGAACATGCCTTTGCCCTCATCTGTGTAGCAGCCCTCAGGGGTTCAAATGCTTGTTCTTTCTCTGAGCCTCACCCTCTCTTTTGCCTTTCACTTGAACTCATTTCCCTTTGATTTCTTTCAGGTGTTTGATGCCCGCGACTGCACCACTGCCCATGGGATGTTCAATTACATTTGTAACCACATAAAATATGCCACTAACAAAGGGAATCTCAGGTATGTAGTACATGAAAGCCAGACTTGGAGAAATTATCAATTTGCAGATGTCACTGGATCTTAGTGTGACCAATGGCCAGGAATGATGGGAGCTATAATCTTAACATTTGGAGAGTTACAGATTTACCAGAATGTGTGTGTGTGTTTGTGTGTGTGTAAAAGAAAAGGTATCAGAGCCTGAAGCAACATGGATGTCCTTTGTGTTCATTTTGACCCAACCAGTTTTGTATTTGTTCTCATGCAGAAAGACAAACAGCAGTTTATGGGCTTAGCTGCATTCTTCACAGAAATAATATTGTTGCAAGATATTCTAGTTGTCATGCAAAGCATTTTGGGATAACTTGGTCTTGAATGGGTAATAGAGAAAAAGGTATTGATGAAAATGAAGAATGTTATAACCACTTTGTTGATGTGGATCAATGCTAGGTCATGCATTTTTGGACTCTCTTTGAAGATGTGTGCCTCAGGGGTGTTGCAATGAGCACCTACACCTCTCAGTGCACCACTATATCACTGGTTTCCTACAGAGATAGAGAAACAAGCTAGAATTGAACACTCTTTCAATCTTTATGGATAACTCTAATCTAAAATGGGTCGAGTTTCCACCTGAAAAGTATGCAAGGTTTTTAACATAGGGCTGCAACAAATAGGATGGCCCATGGTAGTGTGTGTGCATACAGGAACTGTTTAAGCCTTTTCTGGCTTTGGAGAGTTCTGCAGATAAAGAATTGCCTTATAGATGTTGGTGGACTGCAGTTTCCATCATCGCTAATCACCATAGCCAATGGCGTTGAATAACAGAAATTGCACCACTACAAACAGATTAATAAACTGATAAAACTAATTAAACGCAGCATGACATGCAATACAAGATGCATGTGAACAAGGGTAGGACACTACAAATAGATACAGGAAAAGTTTCCGCCTGAGTCTAATACAGAAAGCTGTTTTATCTTGGCTACCTCAGAGAGAAACTTGACAACAGACAAGGTCACATGGAGGAAATAATAAAAACTTTACATGGAATTGGGCTGCTCTACAGGATAGGCTGCTCACTAGTTGGTTAATAATATGTAGCTGAACCTGTTTATCAAAACTGCAGGACAATAAGATATGATTCATACATTCAACATCCTGGTTATTGCATGGGCAAAATCTTGCATTGTATGGGACCCCCACAAATGTACCTCGAAGCACTTCAGATGGGAACACATTGCTATTTGCTTGGAAAATAGGCAGCTATCTTTGGCCACAGTCAAGTTCTTAAGATAATTTGCTTCATGGAGAGGCCCAACATAGTGTATACTCAGGGTGCTTGGGGAACAAGAAACATGTGAGCAAGAACGCAGCTCACAGAAGATGATGTCCCATAGTATTCATTTAATAGATTTAAGTTCCATGTTGAAGCCCAGCTGAGATAAGAGAGATGAAAAAAGGCCGATAGAAGAGACCTTTTTAGAGTTAAGCTTGAACCACTTGCTAGTGTAAATCATCCTGGGCTAGATGGTGAATCAGACCTGAGCCCAGCCTGTAAACACTGATCTGATGCTCAAACCACTGATGCTCAAACTAATGAGAAACTTTTAGCTGCCTGGAAGCTTTCATAGAGAAGAAGAATCACATGACTACTTCCAGCCTAGTTTTAATATTCTTACTTGCACATCAGAATGAATTCTCTGTAAATTGTCTACATTTGATCAGAGTTGGGCTGGGGGTGGTCCAGACTGAATCTTGTGGGTTCAAGTCCTGACACCCCAGCAAGCGAGAGTCCAAAAGTGGCAAGCTCAAACCCAGAACCTCAATCAATGGCTGATACCAAAGGAGAGACTCCCCCCTGGGCACACAGAAAACTGGGCAACTTGGAAGGCACTGAACAGACTGCACTCTGGCACCACGAGATGCAGAGCCAATCTTAAGAAATGGGGCCACAAAGTGGAATGCACGACATGCGAGTGTGGAGAAGAGCAAACCACTGACCACCTGTTGCAATGCAACCTGAGCCCTGCTACATGCACAATGGAGGACCTCCTTGCGGCAACACCAGAGGCACTGCAAGTGGCCAGCTACTGGTCAAAGGACATTTAATCAACTACCAAGCTTGAAAATTCTGTGTTTTGTCTGTCTGTCTGTCTGTCTGTTTGTTTTTGTTAAAAATGTAATACAAATGTCTGGTTGCTGATGACATGATAAATAAATAAATAAATAAATAAATAAGTCCTGACAAATGTGTAGCTTGGAGAGCATCCACATTCATTCTAACACAGGGGATCACAATGTGGCTAAACCCATACCTGCTGACCATGGAACAAGCCTTTACATCAAGAAATTGACTTCCAACCTACAGCTGGAACATCTTCCAGCTGTAGGTTGGGCTAAGGACGTGGGATAGGACATTTTCTGTCAAACTTGAAAAGAATAGGATCCCAGGTAAGTGAAGGAGCTGTTTGTCCAACTGTATGTGGTTGTAGGGTAGGCTGGACAGGATATGGATAAGGTCAACTAAAGAGAAAAGTAACTGGCTGGGAAGTATTTGGATGTACTGTCATGTACCCAACCCCTTCCGCACCCATCTTACACAATGTATGCTCCCCAGAAAGTGTGCTCTATTTCTCATCTGCTGTTGGTGAGTAGTGAGGAGAGAACCTTGAGGACAATTTGTGAGGGGGGAGCAGGGAGTTGTGTTTTCTTGCTCTCTTACCTGAACAATATTTTGAAATGGCTGAATGAGATACGGTCTTCTTTTTAACACTTAGCTATGCAGCTTGTTTTAAAAAGCAAAACATCCTCCAGCACTCTGTGGTGTTCCTCCAGCAGCCTTCTCGCCAGCCAGGCTTCCTGAAGTGCCCAGAGAAGAAGTCAGAACCTAATATCTTCCCAGGAGATAGAAAGTACTGCAGAAGATGCTGCAAAGCAATAAAAACACAAAACTTTAAAGGGATGCTACATCTCATTCAGCCACCTTACTTAAGCAAGAGAGCACGAAAAAAGATATGCCTTAATTCCAGGCTTCAGACTGGAACGAGGAGGTGGGGATGACATTGGATACTGCAGTAATTGCCTGGCACCAATTTAACTAATAATCCAGAATTGGAAGCATTGGGTCCTCCAGATGTTTTGGATTTCAGCTCCCAGAAGTCCCAGCCAGGGATTATAGGAATTGTCCAAAAATCTATGATGAGTACAATTAAACAGAACGAAGTATATCAAAATCAAAATTTTGTCTACTGTTTGTTTGTTACATTTGAAACCCACATTTCCTCCCATGAGCTAAAAACAACATATATGGCTGTTCTTATCCATACTTTATCCCCAGAAGAATCCTATGAGGTAGGTTCAGCCTGAAAGAAGAGAGAAAGTGGTCAAAACCCTTTGGTTTTTGATAGATCACCCAAGTCCTTGAAGAACACAATTGATATCTTCTTCCCGACTGTGGTCTTTCTGTTTATCGGAGTGATAATATCAGACCCAGAATAGCACATTATTCTTCTGCCCTCTCAGGTCTGCCATCACCATATTCCCCCAGAGGACAGATGGCAAACATGACTTCCGAGTCTGGAATTCCCAACTCATCCGCTACGCTGGTTACAAGCAACTGGATGGCTCCATCCTGGGAGACCCAGCTAATGTGGAGCTGACTGAGGTTGGTATTTAAAGATATGGAATTGCTACTCCTCCCTGTTTTAGATGCTGCAGAATTATATCTTTGACAGAGAGTTGTCTCATGTTTTGAGGCTTTGTGACACCAGCTCTTCATCAGCGTAAGGTTGCTCTCGCAGCCACATTAGTTTGACCTTAGTACAGATATTTATCCCCTCTCATTGTTTTATATCTGTTCTTATAAGCTTCCACATCAATCAGTTAAATATTTCTATTGAATATGTAGAAGATGCAGAATTAGAATAGAATTCCATTGCTATTTTAGAGAGCTCAAACAATTGGGGTTTTTTACAAAAACAGATAATTCAACATATTTGGGCAGTTTAAAGATTTTGCTTATTAGCAATCATTTCTTTCATACCCAAAATGCACTTTTCCCCAGCTTCGAATCTATCAAAACTTCAGGGAAATAAGCAGCAGGTTGATTTCTCTAAAAGAACATAGAATGATGTTATTTGGGTCCTGAAGGGAAAGGCATTTCCTGTGACAAGGCTTACCACAGACTGGATGGGACCAAATATTTCAAAGCCACTAGTGTTTTTATCACACTCTAATAAAATGAGGGAGGAAGGAAACTTTTTGCCCTCCAAACTGGGCAGAACTGGTCTCCTTTTAAGTATTTGACCTTCACCAGACATATCAATGGGCATTTGATGGTGAGTCACTTGTCTTGTCCTCTCTTTGGGATACAGATCTGTATACAGCAAGGGTGGAAAGCACCCAGGGGCCGCTTCGATGTCCTACCGCTCCTTCTCCAGGCTAATGGCCAAGATCCAGAACTTTTTGAAATCCCGCCTGAGCTAGTGCTGGAAGTACCCATAAGGCACCCCAAGTAAGTCAAAATACCTCTCGTAGAACCGTTAAGCAAATCTGAAGCCTTCCTGAATCCTTTTGGGAGTTAACCCTGTCTTTGGGCTCTTCCTGGCTTATGTGCATGCATGTGTGAATGTTTCTCTGCGTTGCACATGGCCTCAGAGTCTGAAAAGGCTGGGTAGCACTGTTCTGCAACTCAGAGCTTAGAGATATTTTTTGGTCATTAAGCCCTGAATTCTGCTGTAGCCCTTAAGCATGGGTCCATTTCTTGTAGCTCAGACTCTTTGGTCCCACTTTCTCCTTTGCAGGTTTGCCTGGTTTAAAGACCTGGGGCTTCAGTGGTATGGCTTACCAGCTGTTTCCAACATGCTGCTCGAAATTGGAGGCTTGGAGTTCTCAGCCTGCCCCTTCAGCGGTTGGTACATGGGCACCGAGATTGGCGTCCGTGATTACTGCGACAACTCTCGCTACAATATTCTAGAGGTAGCAATTAGCATTGGCATGCTGCTTTTCAGCATTCAGAACATTACATATTTGCAGTGTTTATGATGACTGTTGAAAGGAAGTTGGTTATGTTATTAGGGATGTGGAAATCTGTTCATTTGGTTCCTTGATAGACTTCAGAATCCTACTGGTATGCACCTCCCATCCAATTTCCTTATCAGCTTGCAAGACTTTCCCTCCTCCTTCTTGGACAGAAATTCACACATATTTTAATGCACACATTTATAAATTTATTTTCATATTGACTAAAATATATGTGTGCGCGTTTTTCCATTGTATAAAAAAATTTTGTCATGCAAACTAGTGACATTTCAGCCAGGATTCTCTGACTAATAGCTGCATCTGCTTCTATTTTAACCTTGCCTTTGAAGACATAGTTGGGGCTTCTTTAGTGTGAAGCCATAACCTCAGAGCTAGGACATTTGTTTGGTAGACCGACCTATCAAGTTCAGTCTTTGACACTTCCAATTGAAGGTCCAAGTCGCATTTAATGAATGGGAAGGACTTTTACCTGCCTGAGACCCAAACCACAGTTACAGCAGATTAAACTTTCAGTTATTAAACACAGAGGTCGGTTTTTCCAACATACATTGCAACAAAAATGGTTTTCTCAAATGCACATTTCACATTTTGAATTTTCCAAAACATGATGGCTGAACCTACAGGCCATTCATTTAATCAGGAATTTTGGCCAACTATCTTTAACTGCATATTTTTATTGTTTTTTTTTGGCAGGAAGTTGCCAAAAAGATGGACTTGGATATGAGGAAGACCTCATCGCTCTGGAAGGACCAGGCCCTGGTGGAGATCAACATTGCTGTCCTATACAGCTTCCAGGTGCCAGGAAATGGTTCTGTAGTATCAATGTCCATTTGGTGACATCTGGAATGCAGATATCAATGGTGTTGGCATTACATAATTTTAGACTCTCTTCTTTTTTTGATGGTAGACTATATTATTTTCTAATTCTAAGCATTCATCTACAATGGATAGTAGCCCAGTGTAAATCTGCCCGGGAGCAGCCTTAGATTCAGCACATTTGAGCTAATCTATTTTTCCTCTCTGTCTTTGCAAACATAAGAAAAGTCTTATATCCATTTTATTATCGTGGCTAGAAAGAACAGGGTGGAATGAGGGCTTCTTTTGAATGTTCTTTTGTTGTGTCATATCGTGTTATAGTTGTGCTTTATCTTTCAATTTTGTGCTTATCTTTTTGTGTTGGAATCAGACTGACAACCTTTAAAATGATATCATTTTCTAAAAAAAATTAAAAGTTTAACCTTGTATTTTTTTTAAAAACTCTCTGCATCTTGCAGGTTACTATATAAGCTTTTAACTTGCAAATTCCAAGCTTTGGCTTCTGCGTGTATCTGAGATTAGGGGAAACACATGCACACTTGAAGTACCATGACCCAAGCTGGCCTCAACTGTTATCCCCTCTTTTATTGCACAAACCCTTTACCTGAGTCTCCCTCTCCCATACAGAATGACAAGGTGACCATTGTGGACCATCACTCAGCCACTGAGTCCTTCATTAAACACATGGAGAATGAATACCGTTGCCGGGGAGGCTGCCCTGCCGATTGGGTGTGGATTGTTCCCCCAATGTCTGGAAGTATCACTCCAGTCTTTCACCAGGAAATGCTCAACTACAGGCTCACGCCTTCCTTTGAGTACCAGGTACTGCTGTAGCTAAGATTCAGCCTTAGGACCACATCTGAGTCCCTACATTTGGGTTGCTCAGGTTGATGAATAAACTGGGATGCACCTTCTCCCAATGTTCCCTGTGGCTCCATAGTTGCACTCCAGATTTTGTATGCTTTGGAGGGGAGCTTATCCCTTTGGCTCTCCATTTGTGGATTGGTCCCATGATTGGCTCATCTAAACATTATCTTTGGAGCCAAGATCCAATTTTTGGGATCTGCTCTGTCTAACCTATGTCACAATAATGTGTCAGAGAAAAAAATTCTTTTCTTGTATGATAGCATTTCTATGGTTCTTTTTCCACCTTGGCAGCAAATGAAATTCAGGCTAAACTTATTGAGAGCATTGCAGTTGACTGTTAGGAACATGCTCATAATTAAAGAATTTCATGTTTTATGTTGTATCTTAATGGTATTTAATTTTAACCTGTATGTCAATCATTTTACATTAATAATTATAATAATTATAATTATAATAATTATAATATCAAGCCTTGTTGTTTTGTTTAGCACTGTGATATGGCTTAAGGACTAATCAGTAAAATTTACTGGCTGATATTATTATTAGTATTAATAATACCCTGCTTTTTCTCTCCACTGAGAAGACTTTTATAAAGTTTAATATTCCTGTCCTTTTATACTGGTTTATATTATTGCTCTTTTATATTGTTTTATATTGCTACCTTTTTATGTTGTATTTATTTGTGTTGAATGCAAATGACCTGTGTTCTAGACTGGAGGTGTCAAACTTGTGGCCCTCCAGATATTTGGGCTTCCAACTCCCGGAAACCCTAGCCAGCTTGTCTAATGACCAGGAATTCTGGGGGCTGAAGTCCAAAACACCTGGAGGGCCACACATTTGACACCTCTAAACATCAATAAATAAAATGAAACTTCCCTTCAACAAGGGGGATATTGTACTCTGCAGTTTTAGAGCTCTCATTCTGAGGGCTTCTGCTTGGGATGTGGTTGCACATACAGTGGAACAATTCTCAGGTGAAAAGAGGTCTTGAAGCCCTGTCCTAGAGTGTGCTAAATATCACAGAAATCACCAACTGCCCTTGGGGTGTTTTTTTTTAATTGAGAGAGAGAATTAACCCTCCTTATGTAGGCCTCGGGTAGGCACTAATGAGTTAATATTGTACTTATTTTACTAGAGCAAACAATAACATCATTGTGCTTTGTTACTCAAAAGAAGGAATGACTTACCTTCAGACACTGATTCAAATGAACATTTTAATGCATAGCAGCTTCCTGTTCAACCCAGGCTCTTTTTCCTTTCCTTCCCTCCCCTCTTCAGCCTGACCCTTGGAACACCCATATCTGGAAAGGTCTCAATGGCACCCCCACGAAGAAGAGAGCTATCGGCTTTAAAAAGCTAGCCAAGTAAGTATACAGCAGAGTATACCAGAGCCTGGGGGAAGTCTGGGAAAGAGGAGGGAATTGTGGGAGTAGGACATTGACTACAGCTCAAGGCTGGCACCAGGAAACAGCACTGTTGGGCATCTACCTTCTCCTGGGTGATCTCTTCAGGTTCAAGTGAAGGAAACTGACTAGGTGTACCTGAAGAACAATGATGTTAATTCCAGCCACATTCTTTTCAGGCAGTTAATAAATGGGCCATGTGAGAAACCTGCCCAGGTGGATCACTCCTCCCTTGCCCACAGTGTAGAGGTGGCATTTTTTTCTTTTCTTTTCTTTTCTTTTCTTTTCTTTTCTTTTCTAGCCTGGATCTGGATGATCTACTTTACTTTGAAAATAGTGTCATTAAAAAAAACAAAGCTTGGAATTCGAGCCAAATAAAATGTTTTTGTTTCAAAGGGGTGGTTTCAAAAGAGAGATACAAAATATAAATGGTCTACTGACAAATTCTCTCTAGAGCAGGTCAAAAGCTTCCAGTATTTGGGCCTTACTTTCCACTACACCTTATCCTGGAGAGTGCACTCTGAAACAGTGATTCAAAAGGCAAAGGCCTGCCAAGCAGCTATAATAAGGTTTTATTACACCAAAGGAGGACAATATGTCCCACCCCCACTAAAAATCTTTACCGCCAAAATAGTCTCTAAACTCCTCTTCGATGCAGCCATATGGTGTGCAAATTCGACTGTAAACCTAGACAGCGTGCAAGCAAGGTTTATAAGAGATCTTCTAAATGAGCGTTCTTGTGTACCAAATGCGGTCCTGCTCCTAGAAATGAGTGAATGCTCATTGAGTACTAAGGCCTGGACTCTGAAAATGAACCTATGGTTAAAAACAATTATATTTAAAGTGGGAACAAGTTTATTACATCATCTTTCCTATGAAGCCTCCAAAGCCCTTTGGCCAAGGAGTACTGAACAGAAAGTGTCCTCAATTGGACTATCCGCATTCCTTTTGCTCCATTTAGAACTCAAAATGGAAGGACTGGCAATCTGGACGACGAAACTGGATCACGATTTTAGTCAAGAGATGAATTGGATTGTTTATTGATATATGTATTGTGGATTATGTTTTTATGCTTTTAAACTGTATACTGTTGTTTGTTATAAGTTGTTGTAAACCGCGTTGAGTCGCCGGCTAGGCTGAGAAACGGCAGTATACAAGTATAGCAAATAAATAAATAAATAAAATGGCACAAAAATCCCTGAAGCAAAGGTTGTGGGACATTCCCCTGGGAGAGCTTAGAACCTGCTCAAATTCACCATGCTCTCCCAGAGTCTTAAACTTACCATGCAGAGAGCCATTTAAGACATGCAAATACCTAATAAACCTTATAGTGATCAAATATCACAGACTCTTTACAAAAGCAAGATTAAATGTATTTCCCTCAGAGCTGCTAAGAGGCAGATTGCCTGGAACTCCTTACACCCAAAGACTATGCCCCTGTGAAAGAAATGAAGTAGAAACAATACGACACATTTTATTGCAGTGCCATTATTACATGGCGCAACGTAGCCAACTTTTATATCCAATTTTGTCCCACATGATTAGCCATCCCCTGCAGGGGATTGTTAGATATCTTTTAGAGGACAAGTGCCACAGGGTGACCCTCATAGTGGCAACATTCCTCACAGTGGCAACAAAGCTAAGAAATAAACTAACCTTGAATAGGAGTATTACTTGAAACCAGGCATATTAATCTTGGACAAGGAACTTCTCCTGAGATGGGACAATATATTAATGATTATTTGTTCACTGATGGGTCTATGGACCATAATAAATATTGATGATGATGATGATACAAAAGGTTTCACAAAATCCCCTTGTCCAACTCCCAGTGATAATCAAGAGGTGACATATGACTTTTTTCTATATAAGATGTCCCAAAATTGCACTGGCCAGCACACACCTTTTGGTGCCTCAAATGTTAACTCTGTTTCTGGGTATAGTTGACCTGCTGGTTCAAAAAATGGCACCAGTTTCCCCACATCAGCTCTAGTTTTTGAGATACAGAACATATACCATCTACCAGTCGCCATCTGCTCTCACACACAGAAAATTAGGACAGCCATATATAAGAAACTAGAGCTCTACAAGCCAATTTTCTGAATCAGTGCCCCAATTTACCCCAGGAATATTCTTCAAAACCAAGACATCAAGAAAAAAATGTTTTGTTGGACTATCAAAGGCCCCTTCCACACAAGTGAATGAAGTCCCATATTTTCTGCTTTGAACTGGAATATATGGCATTGTGGACTCAGATAACCCAGTTTAAAGCAGATATTGTGGGATTTTCTGCCTTGTTATTCTGGGATATAGGGCTAGGTGGAAGGGCCCAAAGAATATTGAAATTCCAAGTGTGGCTCAGTGCAGATCATGCTCCAGCCTTATTGAAGTGTGCACCTCTCGTTGCAGCTCTGCACCCTCTTCCGTCTTGAGTGTGGTGTTCCTTTCATGCATTAGCATTCCTAATTCTCCGTGACAGAGACACAATTTTGCTAGGTCTCCAGGGGATAGCATGGTTTGAGGGGTGGAATAATCATGTAATACACACACATACGCTGAGAACTCCTCATTGTAAACATTAACAGTGTGTGGTCCAACTAGTGTTGATCCCATTTAGAAATACGATGAAAAGGTCTGCACTCTCAGGGGAAAAAATAATCATAAGGGTACAAGATGGAAAGGAAAGAGCTCAATAAATGAATGTCCCCATGTAATGCTGAATTTCTAGTTGAACAGAAAAATTAAAATTTGGTGGAACAGAGTATTTTGGAGAGGGTGTGGCTGTTACATTGTGATGCCACCTTACAATATTTTGTTTCAGAACACATTTTTTTCCCCATTGCACTCCCCTTTTCCTCATTCCATCCAAGTTGAATGTATAAATTTAGTTCCATCCATGAGAAGGCCAAGGAAATCTTTGAGGAGGCCACACAACTGTGCCAGCTGGTGGCTTCCATTCTCCGAATCCATACTGGGTTTTACTCCAAGCTTGAAGGTGCTCTCTCCTATTCAAATACAAGTCCATCACCTTGGATAGCCTCCTTCAGGTTTAAGAGTCCTGAGTGGGTCCAGCACCCCATAACATGGAGGTCACCAGCTGAGCAGGAAACACAATTCACATATGGACCAAAATAAGATGCAAGCGTGTAATAAAATGAATTGACCTGGGGCAGGAAATAATACTAAAATCTGTCCAGAATGGCAACGAGACCCATTTTATTCAGTTCACAACAATGTCAAAGGCAATAGCCTCCTACCTGAAGCTGGGGGTGGAATGATTTGTTTTTTAAAATCACTTATTGAAGATTAACAGAGCCATCCATTGACCCAGTTGAGTTATATTTACGGATGTGAATCTCTCATTGTGTTTTACTGCTTCTCAATCATTGTAAAAGCTTTAAAGAGAGGCAGGCATGATTATCCTTCCCTTGGAATTACCTTTTATTGCTTGTGCTCTACTCTCTAGATTTTAAGCTGCATGTAAACTATGCCAGGTATGCATTTGTTGTTGTTGTTCCACTCTCTGCATTTGATCTTTTCTTGATTACTTTTTGTGCCTCTCCTTTATAGTTAGCGAAATGTTATTTTATTTGCACAATGACTTGTCAGGGAATTGTTGCCACTTCTGCCTTTGATTTGTGTTCTTGTAAGATGTGTGTGTTTCTATTCATTTATATTTTTTAGTATATACTTAAAAAAATCTTAAGTGAACACTATAGTACATGTGAAGATTCCTCCAAACAGACCCGTCAATAATAATAATAATAATAATAATAATAATAATAATAATAATAATACACTTTATTTGTTACCCCGCCACCATCTCCCCAATGGGGACTCGGAGCGGCTTACATGAGGCCAAGCCCAAATGACAATTACAATAAAGAAAACCGAAAACGCGAACAATAAACAATAACATCATAGTTAAATAAAACACATGAATACATAACAATATGAAAAGTAAAGAATATGCACAGACACAATAATAATGGGCGGGCAACATGTAGTAATTAAAAGGACAAACTGATTAAAACGAATTAAAAAGTCGGGCGAGATAAAAGATGGAAGCAGGTAATTTACGGAGGAGGGCTCATTTTAGAAAGAGTTGTGGAAGCAAGCTTTCCCATGAGGGGGGACGTATACTCCAATGACAGAACTTTGAAGCAGAGCAATCATGTGAGATTATATACCTACTCATCAAAGGCGCAGCGGAAGAGCCAGGTTTTAAGGTTCTTTTTTAAGACCTCAAGGGAAGGGGCTTTCCTAATTTCTCCAGGCAGTGAGTTCCAGAGTCGGGGAGCCACAGCAGAAAAGGCTCTCTCCCTTGTACTCACTAGACAAGCTTGAGAGACTGGCAGGGGCGAGAGAAGGACCTCCCCGGAGGATCGGAGGGCCCAAGATGGTTCATGGCGGGAGATACAGTCACAAAGGTAGGCAGGTCCCAAACCGTTTAGGGCTTTGTAGGTGATAACCTGCACCTTGAATTGGGACCAGAAAATAAACGGCAGCCAGTGGAACTCCTTAAACAGGGGGGTTGACCGCTCCCTGTTGGTTGCCCCACTTATTAATCTGGCTGCCGAACTTGGACAAGTTGTAGTTTCCGGGCCGTCTTCAAGGGTAGCCCCACGTAGAGAGCATTACAGTAATCCAGTCTAGAGGTAACTAAGGCATGGACCACCATGGTCAAGTCAGACTTCACGAGATAAAGTCGCAGTTGGCGCACGAGTTTTGGTTGTGCAAAGGCCCTCCCGGCCACCACCAACACCTGTGCATCGAGTGTCAGCGCTGAGTCCAGAAGGACCCCCAAACTGCGGACCTGTGATTTCAGGGGGAGTGCAACTCCATCCAGCACAGGTTGCCACCCAATATCCCAATCAGCCGAGCGACTGACCTGGAGGACCTCTGTCTTGTCAGGATTGATCCTCAGCTTGTTCTTCCTCATCCAGGTTGCCACAGCAGCCAGGCACTGGTCCAGTATCCAAGGGGCTTCCTTGGAATCTGGTGGAAAAGAGTAGTGGAGTTGGGTGTCATCTGCGTAGAGGTGGCACCACACTTCAAAACTCCGGATGACCTCTCCCAGCGGTTTCATGTAGATGTAAAATAGCACAGGGGACAGAATAGAACCTTGCGGAACCCCACAGGTCAATGGCCAGGGGTCCGAGCAGGAGTCCCCCAGCTTCACCAACTGGGAACGACCCTCCAGGAAGGACCGGAGCCACAGTAAATCCGTGCCCCCAAGTCCCATCCCAGCGAGTCTACCCAGTAGGATACCATGGTCGATGGTATCGAAAGCCACTGAGATGTCAATCCCACTGTTTCCTTCCCTTTCTAGCCAACAAGTACTGCATGGATTCTTATGTGGAAAGTTTCAGTACATATTTTTGAGCCGTTTTTGGAATGGGCATATTTGTGGAAATCTACCTCCATTTCCTAAACAAGCAATGGAAAAGCTGTGACTCTCTAGATGTTTAACTACAACTCCCAACAGCCCCACCCAGCATGGAAGTTGTAGTTCAGCAATATCGAGAAAGCCACATGATTCCACTATTGGTTCTGCACATTCCTCAAATGTATATAAGTTGTCAAAACCCTTCCCCTTTCGCAGAATGCACCATAAGTCCAGAAATGTACACATTTCAGACTGCAGATTGCATTCATTTCTGTGGTTGGGAGATGCAAAATTAGGAGATCTCAAAGACATGTCAGAATGTATTTCTTATACATCCTTAGATCTTATGGCTTGGGTTTTTATCAGACACCTGTTCTACTCCTGATATCCTTATATCAAAAATTAGAAATAAATCATTTGACACACAGCTGGAGGGTACCAGGCAGAAAGCTGCAGGATAATTTTGGGGCTAAACCTCTCTTTTCTCTCCCTTCGCCTCCCACAGAGCAGTCAAGTTCTCAGCCAAGTTGATGGGGCAGGCCATGGCCAAGAGAGTCAAGGCCACAATCCTGTATGCCACAGAAACAGGGAAGTCCCAGGTCTATGCAAAAACCCTGTGCGAAATCTTCAAGCATGCCTTTGACGCCAAGGTAAGGCCTTGCCTGCATGGGCTGGTGCTAGTTATATGTCAGCCAGTGTCTGGAGCACTGTTGCAACTATTTATACATGGTTTGTGTGTGCGTGTATATATGTATTCTGTGTATTATTTAAAGTGTTTACAAATGGCTTTCCTACTTGCCAGGGCTTTGAAGGCAATGTAAGATTTCAAATTACAATAATCATATTTACTCAAGTCTCATGCTCACCTTTTTTGGCTAAATTCCCTTGCCAAAATTAGGGTGTGCTTTAGATCCGCATCATACGGTAATCTCAGTGCTGAGTCCAAGCCAAAGGGGCAGCTGTTTCAGGAGCCCCTGGAGCTCCTCGTTAAAGGGCGTCAGTTCTAATTTAATGATCATGGATCAATGCTATATGATCCTGGTATTTGTAGTTTGATGAGGTACCAACATATTTGGCAGAGAAAGCTCAAGAACTTGTAAAACTACATGGTTTTGTACCATTGGGCCAGGGCAGTGAAACTGGATCGATTCTACATTGTAGATGCACCCCTGGGTTTTCTTTTCTTTCTTTTTAAAATATATCTTTATTGAATTTTTCTACAACATGATTTAAAAATTCAGAAAGGTTAAGAAAGAAAAATAAAAAAGGAACAACTTAAGGGAGGGAAAAAGAGAAGCAGAAAAGAAAAAAAAGAGAGAAGGGTCTTTTCTTCTTGACTTCCAGAGTATCTTCTGTGAGGTGTCATCCTTTTCCTTCTTCCTTACTTTTTCTCTCTTTTTTCTTCCTTTATCGTTCCATCTCCCTTTCATTCGTTTGAGGTTGATTTTTTAATTTCTATATTAGCATCTTATATTTCTTTTCTTTTAGATATTCTGTAACTTTCATCCAATTTGTCTCTTTTATCGGTTTACCTTTGTTTTTTGATATAAAATATGTGAGTCTGTCCATATTCCTAATTTCCATCACTTTTTCTAGCCAGTCTTCTATACTTGGTATCTCCTGTTTTTTCCATAATCTTGCATAGCAGATTCTGGCTGCAGTGGTTAGAAGAAACAGGATTTTATCTTTAAAAATTTCCATTTTTTGATCCGGAATTCCTAGCAGAAATATTCCTGGTTTTAAATGAATATTTGTCCCCAGCATTGATTGTACTGTTTCTTGTATATTCTTCCAATACACCTTCGCTTTTTCGCACGACCACCACATGTGGAAATATGTACCCTCCTTTTTTCTACACTTCCAACACTCTGAGTTGGTATTTTTATAACACTTGCCTAATTTATAGGAGATCATATACCATATTTGTGATATCTTTATCCAATTTTCTTTTAAATCAGATGCGTATGAATATTTAAATTTTCTAGTCCATATTTCTTCCCATTCTTCTCTTCTTACCGTTCTTCCAATATTTTCTTTCCATCTCTTCATATATTCTTTCTCATCCTTTGTTCCATTATTCCACTCTAATAGTTTTTTGTATATATTTGTTATTATCTTCTTCTCCATTTTCTTTTCCATTGCCTGAAGCTTTGGTATTTTAATACTTTTGTTTTGAAAGAAGGAATTCTAAGCAGGCAGCAACTGTCATGCACACTTTTTTGACCAAATTACAAAGAGGGCACTTTTTGCCACTGCACATTACATTTCCCAGCAAATCCTTCTTTTTTTTTCTTTTCTTTTCTTTTCTTTCCTTTTTTTTTTTTTTTTTTTGGTTTTAGGGTTTTGAAAATTGAGGTGCACATTAGATTCGATGGCATACTAGGCTCAAGTAAATACAGGTAAAAGATTCTTTAACAATGCATCAAAAACCATTTGGAAAGCCAAAAGCCTGAGATGAAAACACACCAAACTATCTTAATAAGGATGGAGCATTTGGTGTGAGTCCCAAAATGAGAGGCCTTCTGTTGAAAAGGAAAGCCCTCAACTGCAACCACGAGATACTTGTTTGTCAGGTTCCTGCAAACCAGCTGTGGTTCAATTTTAATTTTAAAAGGATCCTTTATTACCAATAGAGAAGTGACGCCATTACAAAAATATTTATTTGATCAGACTAAAAATGTTTCCCAGTGATTACATGTATCTAAGGCTCATCCATCAATTGTACTCAGGATCATACATCACACTGGTATCCTGACTTCCAGTGATAGAAAGGGTTTGGTTCCTTTCCCACAACCTTGGGGCAATTCATCTTTTATTGTATCCCTATAACCTTTTTATGGTTCCTGCCGTTTGTTCCTGCGGGCAATCTAGCACCTGTTTTTCCCTGTGAAATTGGCAGCCCTCTATGAAATATGTTCTCAAACCTAGATATCCGTTTGTCACTCCATTTGATTTATCTGCAGAACAATATTGAGGATTGTTAAGAAACATGCCTAGTGGTCAAGGCACTGGGCTAGTTCTGTAACCCATGGGTGCCAAATTCACAAAGTTTCTCCTTCAAAGTTTCAGTCTAGACCAGTGGTTCTCAACCTTCGTAATGCCGCGACCCCTTAATACAGTGCCTCACGTTGTGGTGACCCCCAACCATAAAATTATTATTATTGCTACTTCCTAATTGTAATTGTGTTACTGTTATGAATCATAATGTAAATATCTGAAATGCAGGATGTATTTTCATTCACTGGACCAAATTTGGCACAAATACCCAACAACAGCGCTCCATGCCGTCATGTCAGCTACATGACCTTGGAGGTGTCTGTGAACAACACCGGCTCTTTGGCCTAGAAATTGAGCACCAACTCCCAGAGTTGGACACAACTGGACTTAATGTCAGGGGAAAACTTTTACCTTACGTTATCCAATACACCCAAATTTGAATACTGGTGGGGTTGGAGGGAAAATTGATTATGTCATTTGGAAGTTGTCGTTGCTGGGATTTATAGTTCACCTACAATTAAAGAGCATTTTGAACTCCACCAATGATGGAATTGGACCAAACTTGGCACACATAACTCCCACAACCAACAAAAATTCCTGGAAGGGTTTGGTTAGCACTGACCTTGATTTTGGGAGTTGTAGTTCACCTGCATCCAGAGAGCATTGCAGACTCAAACAATGATGGATCTGGTCCACACTTGGCACAGATACTCAATATGCCCCAATGTGAACACTGGTGGAGTTTGTTGAAAATAGACCTTGACATTTGGGATATGCAGTTGCTGGGATTTATAGTTCACCTGCAACGAAGAGCCCTCGCTTGCTCCGCACCCCTGCCGGCCGGCGGGAGAGCGGAGCAGCCGAGGGCGCCTGGAGAAGGCCTTGCTCCCAAGGCCCTCGCCTGCTCCGCCCCCCCCCCCCCGCCGGCCGGCGGGAGAGCGGAGCAGCCGAGGGCGCCTGGAGAAGGCCTTGCTCCCAAGGCCCTCGCCTGCTCCGCCCCCCCGCCGGCTGGCGGGAGAGCGGAGCAGCCGAGGGCGCCTGGAGAAGGCCTTGCTCCCAAGGCCCTCACCTGCTCCGCCCCCCCGCCGGCTGGCGGGAGAGCGGAGCAGCCAAGGGCGCCTGGAGAAGGCCTTGCTCCAAAGGCCCTCGCCTGCTCCGCCCCCCCCCGGCCGGCGGGAGAGCGGAGCAGCCGAGGGCGCCTGGAGAAGGCCTTGCTCCCAAGGCCCTCGCCTGCTCCGCCCCCCCCCCCCCGCCGCCCGGAGAGCCAAGGGCGCCTGGAGAAGGCCTGACCGATTCATAGTTCACCTGCAACGAAGAGCCCTCGCTTGCTCCGCCCCCCTGCCGGCCGGCGGGAGAGCGGAGCAGCCGAGGGCGCCTGGAGAAGGCCTTGCTCCCAAGGCCCTCGCCTGCTCCGCCCCCCCCCGCCGGCCGGCGGGAGAGCGGAGCAGGCAAGGGCGCCTGGAGAAGGCCTTACTCCAAAGGCCCTCGCCTGCTCCGCCCCCCCCCGGCTGGCGGGAGAGCGGAGCAGCCAAGGGCGCCTGGAGAAGGCCTTGCTCCAAAGGCCCTCGCCTGCTCCGCCCCCCCGCCGGCTGGTGGGAGAGCGGAGCAGCCAAGGGCGCCTGGAGAAGGCCTTACTCCAAAGGCCCTCGCCTGCTCCGCCCCCCCGCCGGCTGGCGGGAGAGCGGAGCAGCCAAGGGCGCCTGGAGAAGGCCTTGCTCCCAAGGCCCTCGCCTGCTCCGCCCCCCCCCCCCGCCGCCCAGGGAGAGCGGAGCAGGCAAGGGCACCTGGAGAAGGCCTTGCTCCCAAGGCCCTCGCCTGCTCCGCCCCCCCCCCCGGCCGGCGAGCAGAGCAGGCGAGGGGCGCCCAAGGAGCCACTCACCTATCCCTCACCGCCGGCGGGCGGGAGAGCGGAGCAGCCGAGGGCGCCTGGAGAAGGCCTTGCTCCCAAGGCCCTCGCCTGCTCCGCCCCCCCGCCGGCTGGCGGGAGAGCGGAGCAGCCGAGGGCGCCTGGAGAAGGCCTTGCTCCCAAGGCCCTCGCCTGCTCCGCCCCCCCCCCCCCCCCCCCCCGGCCGGCGGGAGAGCGGAGCAGCCGAGGGCGCCTGGAGAAGGCCTTGCTCCCAAGGCCCTCGCCTGCTCCGCCCCCCGCCGGCCGGCGGGAGAGCGGAGCAGCCGAGGGCGCCTGGAGAAGGCCTTGCTCCCAAGGCCCTCGCCTGCTCCGCCCCCCCCCCCCCCCCGCCGCCCAGGGAGAGCGGAGCAGGCAAGGGCACCTGGAGAAGGCCTTGCTCCAAAGGCCCTCGCCTGCTCCGCCCCCCCACCGGCCGGCGGGAGAGCAGAGCAGGCGAGGGGCGCCCAAGGAGCCACTCACCCATCCCTCACCTCCTTCTGCCATCAGAAGGAAGCAAGGGACAGGCAGATGGCTTCGCGTGTGGCCTAGCCGCCCGCGGAGCCGCTCGCCCGTCCCTCGCCTCCTTCTGCCATCAGAAGGAGATGAGGGACAGGCGGATGGCTTCGCGCGGGGGAATGCCAGTGGCGCAGGGGGTCGGCCGCCATTTTGGAGGGGGCGTGGCCAGCCAATGCGGCTTCGCGACCCCCAGAAAATGGCCAAACGACCCCCTGAGGGGTCGCGACCCCCAGGTTGAGAACCGCTGGTCTAGACTATGGTCTTCCAATTAAGAAGAAGGAATACTAACATAAATGTTTATATTGGCTTTATTTCTCTGTGTTTCCTCTTTTTTTCTCATCATAAGCCTTCCTCCCATCATCTTCCTCCCCTCTTTTCTCTGATCTTGCATTTTCTTCTCCTCTTGGTTTATCTAATTCAAATCTATTTCTTTTTGTAACATTATTTGGCATTTGTCTCTGAATCTAGTACATATCTTCTCTCTTTAAAGCAGTGGTTCCCAACCTGTGGTCCCTGCTAACAACAAAAAAATCAAAGTGGTCCATGGTCTAAAAAAGGTTGGGAACCACTGCTTTAAAGTGTAGAGAATGAGATACACCTTGTAGACTTTTCCATTTAAATCAAATTCCTTAAAAAAAATATCCATAAGAAAATTGTATTCCTTTCTCTTTTTGTGCAATATTTTTGTTTCCAAATATTCATTTTTTACTCTTCAACTTTCAAATGTGTTTTATGTTGCTTTTGTCACATTCGATCTCTTGTATGTCTAGTTCTGATGAAGGGAGCAAGGATAGAAATGTTTCTAATGGTTAGGTCTCAGACTTGTGCAGTCGGTTGGTAGAGGAAGCCTGCATTAGGTTCCAGTTGGGTTGAGAAGAAGGCCTTAAGTATTTCCATCTCAGACCTGCTTTTTTAATCCTTGTCCACACAGTTACAGGATTGCATTTGAAACACAGCCAGCTGCTAGCCTTTTTAATGTTCAAGCAGGTCTCTCCTTTTTGCTGGAGAAGATGCAGTGAGTGGAGATTTTTTATCCCACATGTGTCTTACCTGTTCAAACAGTATCTTTAAGCAGGCTTGTAATGTGCTCATAACAATCAACAGGTCATTCAATAAAACATGGTAATGAATTATTATTACTTTATGTTTTTTTCTTTTGACTATTGTGTAAAGATTTCCTCCTTATGAACTGCTATAGGGCTTGAAATCACTTTACGGGGCCTGGACAATTACATTATCAGAGAAAATGACCAGTAAACTATGGCGGGCAAAGGAGGTATATGAAAAACCCCATTTGCTATTGTGTGGCATCCATTCACTTCATTTGCCAGTGGAGAGTCCTTGCTACATTGCACATTGTTATGGAAGAGGGATTTTTAAATGTATGGAACTAACCAAACACAAACGCATATGTGTTTTCCCCTACATTGTGCCTTCATGTTAGCAGAGTCTTGTTGACATTGCATAGGACTTGTTTGCTTGGTCCGTCTTTCACTTTCTTGCGGATTTTGAAAGGCAAGGAATATAATACCCAAGATATAATACTTCTAGAGAGAAAGGATAAAAGGATAAATGTCAAAGGTTGTTTTTTAAAAAAAAAAAAAAACATTACTGTCCTCTGTGAAGCACAGGAAGGAAGGAAGAAAAGATTAAGTCCTGTTGGGTAGAAAGCTAAATGCAAATACAACAAAGGAATCCATAAAATGGCCATATTGATGATTTCGGTTGTTGATTCTTACTGTTGCGTGCTTCTTTAAAGCAAATGCAAAGCTGGTGAAGAACCCACTGTGAAACCTTGTTGAAAACAAGAATGTCTCTTCTTCATCCAGGAATTCTTGACTGTCCTCACATTTGACACATCCTATCATTGACAATCATTTGTTGTTTACTTTATTGTACTTTTTTTTACATTTTCAGAGTAAAATGCACACAGCCTTGTTGATAACTCCATATTCAACATTGGACCTGGGTAGGAAGAGCTCAGGGCAGCCTTATTTTTCTGCTTCAAATCAGCTCTTCACATGTTATCCCTGACCCTGTTCGGCACCAAAATCTTGTCAGAAGCTCAACTCAGACTTTACAGTTGCACATAGGCATACACTGAAAGTTTCACTTTTATTTGCACCCTTTTGAATGCTCATGGGATGCTTTCTTCATGTATTGACTGTTTTTTTTTCCCTAGGTGATGTCAATGGATGAGTATGACATTGTCCACCTAGAACATGAAACCCTGGTGCTTGTAGTCACAAGCACCTTTGGCAACGGAGACCCCCCTGAGAATGGCGAGGTACGAGGCATTGTGGGCTCTGCTTTAGTAACTGAGCAGTGCTTGGTGCCAGGCCTAGCCACATTTTTCATTTCTCACAGTTGCATCCATAGGGCTGACTATGTTGACTGGGGGGTTCTGGAAGCTATAGTCCCAAAGTGTAATTTCCCCAAACTCCTAGTGATGGTACCCACCAGAGTACATCCTCTTAACTCTGGAGCCGGGAGTGTAGCTGTGGGGGGACAAAACAAGAGCACTCCCTCCCCAAATAAGAGTTCTGCCCCTATGAAATTTCCTGTTCCCATATTCCACCATTGCAGAGTGAAATCCTGAAAGCCAGTCACATCTAGTACTCTTCTACTTGCTGTGCTTGCATTCCTTTTGCCTGCACCTTTTCTTTGGATGCCTGGACCATTTTTCTAATTGTTGTTGTTGTTTTAAGTGAATGCAGTTCTAAATATCTGGAGACAATGAAAATGTCATTGGGGGCAGACTTCTTATCTTAACCCCCAACCCCGCCCCTAACTGGGAGACATATCAGTGTAGATGGGAGGGAAATAAGGCACCATCCTAAATTGAAGGTAAACTATACAACTATGAAAAGAGCCTTCTCCCCTGGGCTAGAACTGCATTTCATGAATTCCTTTTTCAAAGCTAGATGATGTTTGACTTACCTGCATCCTTTTCTGTTTATTCTTGGTCCAGAAATTTGGCTGTGCTCTGATGGAAATGAAGAATCCCAACTCCAACCTGGAAGAGAGCAGGTAAGTGTCACCCTGCCCTAGACTTCTTGTCACTTATTTTTCCTTCTGCTACACATGGCATCTCACAAATCCCTGGCTTGTTGCAGAAGAGGATCGGCTCTTTTTGGATTGCAAGAGGCATAGCTACAGATGCCTCTGGGTCATTTGAGAAGAGTGAGCTCCATCGAGGATCTCAAGAATAGCATAGCTGAACTCCCCTTCCACATAGCTGATTAAAATCCCACATTATCTGATTTGAACTGAGATATATGACAGTGTGGACTCAGATAACACAGTTCAAAGCAGATATTGTGGGTTATTCTGCCTTGATATTCTGGATTATATGGCTGTGTGGAAGGGCCCTATGACTCTCAAGGGGCAAGGTTCAAGTTCCACTCTGCCATGGAAACCCACTGGGTGACCTTGAGTCAACCTCTCTCAGCTTCAGAGGAAACAAGCCTCTGATAATGCCCTGGGTTAAACCCTTGTGCCAGCAGGACTGAAAACCAATAGGACGGAGGTTCAAATCCGAGGAGAGCATGGATGAGCTCCCTCTGTCAGCTCCAGCTCCCCATGTGGGGACATGAGAGAAACCTCCCACTAAGGATGATAAAACATCAAATAACATCCGGGTGTCCCCGGGCAACATCCTGCAGATGGCCAATTCTCTCACACCAGAAGCAACTTACAATTTCTCAAGTTGCTCCTGACATGAAAAAAAGAAAAGAAAAGCCTAAGAGGAAGACAAGTACAGCGCCCCTCTGGACAAATCTTGCCAAGAAAACCCAGTGGTTGTTTTGCCTTTGGGTCACCATAAGACAGAAATACAAACAGTCCCTGAGTTACAGACAAGATAGCTTCTGTACATAGTCGTTCAGCAGTGGAATTCTCTGCCCCGGAGTGTGGTGGAGGCTCCTTCTTTGGAAGCTTTTAAACAGAGGCTGGATGGCCATCTGTCAGGGGTGATTTGAATGCAATATTCCTGCTTCTTGGCAGGGGGTTGGACTGGATGGCCCATAAGCTCTCTTCCAACTCTTTGATTCTATGATTCTATGATTCTATGATTTGTTCTTAAGTTGAATGTGTATGTAACTTGAAACAGAACCATTTTTAAAATTTAACTCGTCTCCAGGTATATATATAATCATAGAATCATAGAGTTAGAAGAGACCTCGTGGGCCATCCAGTCCAACCCCCTGCCAAGAAGCAGGAAAATCGCATTCAAAGCACCCCTGAGAGATGGCCATATATAAAAGCTTTGGATAGTATAGGGCCTATGGTGTTTCTTTTGCCATCTGTGCCCCTGTTCATAATATTTGACTTCACTTTCTGTGCCTGTGAGAATTAGATGTTGAAAAATGTGGTTGATTGTGGAAACAAGAATTGGAGAGAAATCTTCAGCTGAGGCACCTTTTCCCCATGATAATAACTTTAAGGAGTGAATTTCCCTTCTGAGGGGTAGATTTCTCTCACTTCCTATTGTCTCACCCCTGTTCTTAACTATGAGTCATTTGTAAGCCAGATATCTTCAACTTGCAGGCTGTATTATAATTAATACAGAATCTACAATTATTACAAAACAATTATATAGAAAAATGGAAGGAGATTAAAAAAGAATTGGAAGGATGGAAAAATATAAATTTGTCATTATTAGGCCGAATTGCAACAGTGAAAATTATGATCTTACCAAAATTGATTTTCTTATTTCAAAATTTGCCCATCATAAGAAATTTGAAGATACGAAAAGATGTCACAAAATTTATTTGGAAAAATAAAAAACCAAGAATACACTACAACATGATTGAACGAAAAGAAAAAGGAGGACTTGCCGCACCAGATGTCAGATTATATTTCAAATCGAGTGCATTATTATGGGCCAAAGATTGGGCGAAATTGGAGAAAAATAAATTATTACTTTTGGAAGGGATAGAGTTGAGAGGGGCTGGCATGCATATATCTGGTATAAAGGGAAAAAAGAAAAAAAAACTTTGGAAATCATTTTATAAGATCATCAATTTTGAAAATATGGGAGAAATATAAAAAGAAACTATATAACAAAACACCTATGTGGGTATCACCATTACAAGCAGATCAAAGACGTTGCATGGGATGGAATGAATGGCCAAAATATAAAGATATACTAAAAAAGGAGGAGGAGAAATAATTTTAAAAGCACAACATGAGTTAAATACAATAGATCAAAAAATTTCATGGCTCCAATATTGGCAAATTAAAGAAAAATACAAAAAATAAATAAAAGAGATTGGATTCACTCAAGAAAAAAACTTCTGGGACAACATAATGGAATCAGAAAAAAAATAATAACAAAGATATATATAAAAATATTAGAATGGGAATCAGAATCAAAAGAAGGAAAGAATTATATGAGAAGGTGGAATGAAAATATTAGAACTATCACACTAGTAGAATGTTAAGAAATTTGGAGGGAAAAAAATAAAATATAGTTACACAATTGACCTGAAAGAGAACTGAGTAAAGACATCACATAGATGGTACATGACCCCAAAGAAGCTGGGAAAGAGTTATAATAATATGAGCACAAATTGCTGGAAATGCAAAGAAAAAGAAGGCTCATATTTCCACATGTGGTGCACATGTGACAAAGCTAAGAGATATTGGAAAGAGTTACAGAACAAATTACAAAAAAAATTCTCATGGAAACCAGAATTATTTCTATTAGGAATGTACGAGCTAGAAATAGAAAAAAACACGGATTATTATTTTTAATGAACATAGCAGCGAGAATTTGCTATGCGAGAATATGAAAACAAAAAGAAAGACCAGATGAAGACGAGTGGTTAACAAAGCTATTGGAGATCAGAAATATGGATAGGCCACCTTTCTTATGTCAAAGAGTAAAGGAATAAATATGAAAGAAACAGACAGGAAAAAAGTTACTGAATACCTCAAACAAAGAAATAAGAAGATTTTGATTTAGCAAAGGAGAAGTCGGAAAGGGAGAAGAAGAAAGAAAGAAAAGAAATTGACCTCGAGAAGATACCAAGAAGTCAAAACAATTCCCATGTCTTTTTTCTCTTTCTTTTTTCTTCTTCTTTTTAATGTATTTTATTAGCTTATTTTTTCCTCTTAGTATGTTTATTTTGTTTTTGAGAACATGGCTCTATTTACTTTGTACTTTTTTTTTCTTTTCTCTTCTTTTATTGTAAACTAAAAATTTCAAATAAATTTTTTAAAAAATGTAAATGTGCTTACGTATCCTTCCAATAATAATAAAAATGGTAAAATAATAAAATAATAAAATAATAATAATAGAGTAAATAATGGAAATTTAATAATAACTGTAATAATAGAGTAAAATAATAAATGCAATAATAATAAATAGAGTAAAATAATAAATGTAATAAAGCCAATAATAAATAGATTAAAATAATAAATGTAATAATAATAATAAATAGAGTAAAATAATAAATGTAATAAAAATACATGTCCTGCTTCTTGGCAGGGGGTTGGATTGGATGGACCACAAGGTCTCTTCCAACTCTTTCATTCTATGAAAATAATGTAAATGTAGTAGTAATAATAATAATAAATAGAGTAAAATAATAAATATAATAAAAATAATACTAATAATAGAGTAAAATAATAAATAACCTTGATTCGAGCTGAGGGGAACTTTTTCAGCCTAAAAAGGGGCTGAAAAACTAGGCTTATACTCTAAACTGGGCTCTACAGGCCAATGGATACTCCACCTCAGACATCAGAAGAGCTGCAAAACCGAGAACAAGCCACGAGAGTAAAGATGAAGATCCACCCAGAGGAAAAGTGTTCTTGCCATACATCAAGGGAACCACTGACCGCATAGGGAAGCTGATGAGGAAACACAACATACAAACAATCTACAAACCCACCAAGAAAATCCACCAAATGCTACGTTCAGCAAAGGACAAGAGGGATCCTCTCACCTCTGCAGGAGTCTACCGTATACCATGCAGCTGTGGACAAGTCTACATGGACCACCAAACGCAGCGCCCAGACACGCATCAAGGAACATGAAAGGCACTGCAAACTACTCCAACCAGAGAAATCAGCCATAGCAGAGCACCTGATGAACCAACCTGGACACAGCATATTATTTGAGAACACAGAAGTGCTGGACCACTCTCACAACCACCATGTGGTTTACTGCAATGCGCTCTACGTGGGGCTGCCCTTGAAAACGGCTCGGAAATTCCAACTGGTCCAACGGGCAGCAGCCAGGATGTTAACTGGTGCTCCTTACAGAGAGAGGTCAACCCTCCTGTTCAAGGAGCTCCACTGGCTGCCGTTTATCTTCCGAGCCCAATTTAAGGTGCAGGTGCTTACCTACAAAGCCCTAAACGGTTTGGGACCATCCTACCTGCGTGACCGCATCTCCATTTATGAACCCACACGTTCACTTCGCTCGTGATTCCGTCTGCGTCGCAAGCGCGCTTGGTGGGGACTCGAGACAGGGCCTTTTCTGTGGTGGCCCCCCGACTCTGGAACACCCTCCCAAAAGATCTTAGACAGGCCCCTACATTGGCAGTCTTCAGAAAGAACTTGAAGACCTGGCTGTTCCGATGTGCCTTCCCAGATTAGGAATTTCCAATACCAACTCCCAGAAGCACTTTAGTAGAACTAAGATTGCTGCACACCGCACATTGCACTTACTTTATATTCCTACATACCTCCTGCCAAATCAACACTTTTAATCTTGTACCCATTACTCTGGCCCGGCCCAGTTTTATAGTGTCTTGATGTATTGTTTATTGCTTGTTGTTTATACTGCTTAACTGTTTTAATTTGCTTTTAGGTGTTGTATTGTTGTGTTGTGTTTGAGGCCTTGGCCTATGTAAGCCGCATCGAGTCCTTCGGGAGATGCTAGCGGGGTACAAATAAAGTAATAATAATAATAATATAATAATAACTCTAACAACCACTATGTCACTACACAGAGAAGCCATTGAAATCCACAAGCATGTGGACAATTTCAACAGAAAGGAGGAAACCATGAAAATGAACAAAATCTGGCTACCAGTATTAAAAAAACTCAAAAATTACAACAGCAAAACAACAGAGGGGAAACAAACAGGCACATAAAATCACTCTCAACAAAAGATTCCCCCCAGGCACTTCCAAGCCATTGAATGCTAATCAAAGTGATCAGCTGAAACATTCACACCTAGCCCCAGCAGTCTCACCCTGGTAATTCCACAGATATATAAATCCATTTTTCCTACTTCCAACAGACCTCACTACCTCTGAGGATGCTTGCCATAGATGCAGGCGAAACGTCAGGAGAAAAATTGCCTCCAGAACATGGCCATATAGCCCGGAAAAACCTACAACAACCCAGGCTTATACTCGTTTATATACAGTATATCTTACTGGTCTAATGTCAGAGCGAACCTTAATAACAAAAAAAATTGGGAAATGCAGTTCCCATTTTCTCTCCCCTGCCATCGTTTTATTGTAAGTGGCCACTGTAGGTAATGATGGAACAGTACAGTGTTTTTGCTTTGTTTCAAGCAGAAAGCAGAAAGCAAAGCTCTGGCTTAAAACCCTCTCTGGTTCCCCATGGATTAATTTTTAAGCCTGGCAATTCCACCACATCACCACTAGATGTCAGGCTTTTGCTGCTACTTAACAGCAAGTTCTGTCAGTCTTTGACTTAGGGTTTTTTTCTTCCTAAAAGAACTTTCCCCATAGTTTGCTGTTCTCCCCTTCAGAGCAGGGCATAGATCCTTGTACCGCTTAAAAGAAACGGGCACTCCTTTGCCTTCCAAAAATCTGAGACCCAATTGAAATGGAACTAGATAATCCATTTCATCCAGAAACCCGTAAAGTTGGGAGACGAACTGTACTGCCCACAAATGGACACTGATCAGTAATTATCCATGTCTGGTTCCTCCTGACACGATAAATAAATAGTAATTATCCATTAGAGAGGAAACCAGCAAATCATATTCAATATGTCATCCCTGTGAGGTACATCAGTATTACTGTCATCAACATTACATCTGAAAAGACTGAGCCAGAGAAAGAGAATTTAATTTGCCTATGGTTACATACATTAGGGCAGGGATGAGATTCAGACCAGAGACTTTCTGATTTGTAACTCCGACACTTGGCCTTGTTGCTACTGCAACACTTCCAATACCTTTGAGTTGGATTGCTTGATTTTCTCACAGCTGTTTGAGTAATTTTATTTGACACTGCAATGTTTCAGAAAATAACACAAATAACACAGCAGTTGTGCCCTAGTGCATTTGCTGGTCATTTCTTCCAAGTAATTAATCAGGTTATATGGCTGCAGCCTGACTGAGGTCAGGAAATGGGCAGAATGGAGTGGAGAGCACTAGAGTTCTCTACCTCTCAATTACCACCACAGTGAGTAATCTCAAAGCCTTTCAGGACCGCTAAAATGGGTAAAGTGGGAAGATCCATTTGTGGATTTTATTCACCTGCATTTTCCCGTAAAGGTCCTGAGTAAGTCCTTAATTACGAGGACATTTTCTGTCATTTCAAGAGAGGAAAAGAACTGCGTGAGCGTAGAGATGTAGCACAGTCACTCATTATGGTTGCCCTCATAATTTCTAATGGATTTCAAGTGCCCGTTGAAGTACAAGCCACTCCAAAACATGTTGCTTTACAAGAAGGATTGTGCACAGGAAAATATATTTGCTGGAAAAATCCATTCCCACCTCCCATTAGTAATTGTGACCATCAAAGCTAAACATAGATCTAGAAAATTGGAGGCTGAGGCAGATGGCAAATAACCCCTGTTTTTTAAAAAAGACAAAAAACAAGCTTGGTGTTTCAAACCCTTGAGTCCATTTCATCATTAGCTTCATCAACTTCACCCCTCCTATGTCCATATGCATCTACAGTGTGTGGCCTTCTCTTCTTTTTCCCTAATTCTGCTTCAATCTTGTTTGCAGGAGCTACAAAGTGCGTTTCAACAGCGTCTCCTCATATTCAGATGCTCGGAAATCCTCAACCGATGGGCCGGAAGACAGGGATAACTTTGAGAGTACTGGCCCTTTGGCCAATGTCAGGTGATCAGGGAAGGCGGAGGTGGGACAGAGGTCTTGGGAGGGAATTCTGGTGACAGAGTACCTGCAGAGGTCAAGTGGCAAGTTTGCAGTCCTCTTGGCTTGAGCAATGTGGAGTTGAGGGCAGCCTTTCCAATTGTCTCTTCATGACAGGGCCCATAGCCAAACACCCAAGAAGGATCCAAGCTCCAGATCAGCAACCTGTTCTAGCAGCTCTTCTTCTAAAGCTAATGGGTCTCAATTACCAATTTAAGCTCAACTGTTCAAAGTACTATTCAGAACATCCTTTTGTTGCTGATTCAAATGTATTCCCTTCCCCCAAGTGAAGCTCTGAAGAAACAGGGAAGGGGGGCAAGTATGCAATCCCCCCTTATCAAGACTTCCTGTCACCTTGACTCTGTAAAGCCTATTGCGATGATGTATTTTAACTGTATTGCCCAAACTCAAGCCGTAAAGAGAGGTGGATAATAAATAAAAAAATACTAGTATACTATTGTTATTCCCAAACTGCAACACTGAACTTATTGTCACATCCTGGCTCTGGAGACATAAACGAATCCCCCTCCTTGCTCGTGGCCTTCTAGTAAGAGGAGAATAACTCCCATTGGCTCTGCTGTCAACTCACTGCTTGCAACCACCTCTCTGTCTGCTTGCTCGCTTGCAGATTCTCCGTCTTTGGTCTGGGGTCACGGGCCTACCCCCACTTCTGCGCCTTTGCCCGTGCTGTGGACACCCTCTTAGAAGAGCTGGGAGGGGAGCGTATCCTGAGGATGGGTGAGGGAGATGAGCTCTGTGGACAGGAGGAATCCTTCAGGACATGGGCCAAGAAGGTCTTCAAGGTAGCCTACTTCCTTTTTGTCTCTTAGGGGAAGACGTGGGGTAATTGGAAGATGGTGTGTCAGCCACAGGGGAACACTATGGAGCATTCAATCAGCATGTTCTAACCTGGGCCCTCAGTCTTCTCTTCTCCAAGCAAAACCTTACCCTTGTACCACTGATTATATCACTGAACATTCACGTGGGATAAAAAAAAATCAGTCAGTCTCTGATTCATGAACACACTGACAAAACAAATGAATGTTTCAACAAGTAGAAAAGTGACACTGATGAGAAATAGACAGATTCACCCATTCCTACCCAACACCCATCATGCTTCTCCTTGCCTGGCCATGCCACTCACACAGTGCTTTTCCAAATCTCACACTTGTGCACATTTGGGGAGATGTGGGGCGATCCTGCCAAGGGCATAGGCCTTTTGCTTGGTCTTGAACCACTTGTATCTTCTGCAGGCAGCGTGCGATGTCTTCTGTGTGGGCGACGATGTCAACATTGAGATGGCCAACAATTCTCTCATCAGCAATGACAGGAGCTGGAAGAGGAGCAAGTTCCGTCTGACCTACGTAGCTGAGGCTCCTGAATTGACCCAAGGTATTGCTATCCCCTGCTCCAGCATCACCTTCCCCAACCTGACTCCCTCCCTTGGTGCTGGACAACAGTCCCTATCTGATTCCTCAACTGTGCCCATGGTGGGGGAACATTTAGACCAGGGGTAGGCAAAGTGCAGTCCATGGGCTGACTGGAACTGTCACCCAGAGGACCTTTTCATCAGCTGCCCCAAGGCTGTGGAATGACCTTCTGGAAGAGATTTGGCAGCTAAATCATGTCAGAATTTAAGACGCAACAGAAGACCCTTCCCTTCTGGTAGACCTACACAGTCAATTTTAAGTCATGAATGTTAATCTGCATTTCAGTCTTGGATTTTGATTTGTATTTTAACTCTGTGTATGTGTTCTATCTGTTTTAAAAGTGTTTTATCTCTTGTTTTAACAATGTTGTGCCCTGCCTCTTGAGCTGCAGGGAAAGGCAGGTAATAAATTATTATTATTATTATTATTATTATTACTACTACTACTACTATTGCTATTACTATTACTATTACTGTTACTAATATTGTTTTTACCCTGCCACCACGTTGTAACTTTCAATGCACCACTCTCTTTCATTGTTATTTCTCAAGGTTTTCCTAGTTTGGAAACAATGCATTGCAAGTACCTTTGCCTTTTAACACCTCTCTGTGGAGGTAAATGAAAGCACAACAATGTCCCTTTCACAAAATAACCTCACTGGTAATGTTTTTTTGGACCTTCTCTTTCCTCCCCCAGGTCTGTACAGCATTCATAAAAAGCGAGTCTTTGCGGCCCGGCTTCTGAACCGTCAGAACCTACAAAGCCCAAAATCCAGGTAAGGAACTGCAGGCGCCATGTCTAATACCATTCTGAGGCACCTATACATATGAGGGTTGAATGAAAAGTAATGCCTCAACCTTTGTAACTCCTCAACAGATGGCAGTACTGGTATGTGGCAGGTACTGGCTTGTTCAGTAGACTCCTCTACAGTTCCATTTTGGCGGGAAGCCTTAGCATTGAATGGTTGTGTTGTTAAAGTGTGAAATATGGAACCCTGCACAGACGATGGGTCAATGTGACTTAAGCAACATGCAGTCATTGAATTCTTGACAGCAGAAGGTGTCACCCCAAAGGAGATTCATCAGAGAATGCAAGCTGTCTATGGTGATTGTGTTGTTGTGAGAACTGTGCGTTGTTTGGTGAGTAAGTTTAAAGATATTGAGGTGGGAACGTCTGACTTGCGTGACAAAGATTTGGACGTCCTGTTACAGCAACCACCGAGTTTCACAAGCAAAATGTTGACAGATTAATTCAGGGCAATCGTCATATCACTCAGAGAGAAATTTCAAGCATAATTGGCATTTCACAAGAACTTGTGGGTCACATTATTGCTTTGCTTGGCTATCGGAAGATCTGTGCACAACGGGTACCCAGGATGCTGACGCTTGAAACGAAAGTGCACAGACTTGAAACTTCAGAGACTGGATCTCACCACCGTACGACATCCTCCATACAGTCCAGATTTAGCACTGTCTAACTTCCATCTGTTCCCAATAATGAAAGAAAATCTGCAGGGACATCATTATGCTTCTGATGAAGATGTTGAGATAACTGTGGGATGCTGGTTGCAAAAACAGAATGTCGACTTGTTCCATGACGGCCTCAGAAAACTTGTTCATCATTGGCAGAAATGTATCCAATTGTCTGGTGATTATGTGGAAAAGTGAACAGTGGTAGTTAAAGAGCACATTCTAAGGATTATTTCTACGTTTGATTTATTAAAATATTCCCATCCAAACCCAAGTAACGAAGGTGGAGGCATTACTTTTCATTCAACCCTCGTATGTACTATGCAGGAGCTATGCTCTGTGCCAATCTTTTTACTGCTAGTATGGTGTTGCTGGAAGCACTGGTGGAAAACTGACTAGAACTTTCTCAACCTTCCTTTGCACTTTAGCCGCTCCACCATCTTCTTGCGGCTCCACACCAACGGGCACAAGGAGCTGCATTATGAGCCTGGAGACCACTTGGGGGTCTTCCCAGGGAACCACGAAGACCTTGTCAATGCCTTGATCGAACGACTGGAAGATGCACCACCAACCAATCAGCTGGTGAAAGTGGAACTGTTGGAAGAAAGGAGCACAGCTTTAGGTAACAAGGCTTGGCGGTTTTAAGCATTCCCTGTTGTGTGGGATTGCTTTCTCTGTGCAGGAGACACAATTGTACTCAGTTTCTCAAAATGTGTACAATGCAAAACACTACCATTTCAGATTTCATTTTCGTGTTTTTAAAAAATGCATTTGCTTTATTTACCACTTGGATTTTATTCAATATCTCTTTTATATTTTGTTCGTTCAAATTTTACTCATTTTCAGTGGGACTGTAGCCAGTGTTCTGCTGCCTTTAACTATGATGTTTTCCACCCAAATTGCTTGAAATTTGCAGGCATCCTACCATGCCCATCACCAACAATTTGCAAGTTGCCCCTGTGCAATATCACGTCTGCCAAATGTCAGAAACGGGGCATTTTCGAGGCAACTTTGAAAGGCGCACATCTACTAAGCCTCCTGTTATTATTAATGGGAGACCCAAATGGGCTGTTCTTTAGCTGCAGATGGCATAAATATCTTGACAATAATGAAGACAGGGCTGCATCTGTTATGTGATACAAACACACAAATGTCTGCTCAGTAGTTTATTTCTGTGGTTTATCTCTGAAATAGTAACACAATGGGTTCTCATTCTCTTTTTAAGAAGACATTTCTTGACACTATGGAGCACTATTGCATTTTGTAGTCTTATTTATATTGGGCCCTACAGAAAAAGGTTGTGAAAATTAGCCTGTTAATACATGTGGTACTGTAAACGGCGCTCCATGCAGTCATGCCGGCCACATGACCTTGGAGGTGTCTGCGGACAACGCTGGCTCTTCGGCTTAGAAATGGAGATGAGCACCACACCCCAGAGTCAGACAGGACTGGACTTAATGTCAGGGGACTACCTTTACCTTTTTACTGTAAAACACCATTATGTGTTTTATCTACCAATGTGTTTTATCTACCAATTTATCTTTGGTAGATAGATTTTTTTTATTTATCGGGTCAGGGGCAGACCAAACAGTTGCATTGCATTTTTTAACAAACAAACAAAACACAAAGTTTGCAAGCTTGGTAGTTGATTAAATGTCCTTTGACCAGTATCTGGCCACTTGGAGTGCCTCTGGTGTTGCCGCAAGAAGGTCCTCCATTGTGCATGTGGCAGGGCTCAGGTTGCATTGCAGCAGGTGGTCTGTAGTTTGCTCTTCTCCACACTCGCGTGTTGTGGATTCCACTTTGTAGCCCCATTTCTTAAGGCTGGCTCTGCACCTCGTGGTGCCAGAGCGCAGTCTATTCAGTGCCTTCCAAGTTGCCCAGTTTTCTGTGTGCCCAGGGGGGAGTCTCTCATTTGGTATCAGCCATTGGTTGAGGTTCTGGGTTTGAGCCTGCCACTTTTGGACTCTCTCTTGCTGAGGTGTTCCAGAGAGATGAAGTATTTTTATTGGGAGGGGTCATAATCTTTGAAGACACCTTCTGGAACAGCTTGTTTGCATTAGTTAACAACTCCGCAAAATCATTGCTGTTGCTGGGTGCCTTTCTGACTTATGACAACCCCAAGGCCAACCCGTTATAAGCTTTTCTTGGCAAAGTTTGTTGAAGAGGGATTCATCAAGGCCTTCCTGTGAAGCTGAGAGAGTTGGACTTACCCAAGATCTCCTCCCAGTGGGTTTGCATGGCTGAGTGGGGTTTGAACCCTGGTCTCCCAGAGTCCTAGGACAACACTCAAACCACTGCTCCATGTCAGTACTCTTTCTGAGGACCATCCAAAATACTTAAAAAGTGTGCAAATGCTTAAGTTCTCTAGTCACATGTTTTCCATATAATTTCTAGCCAAGGTTATGGATAGGGAATGTGTGGCTCTCCCATAAGGCCTTCAACCTGATTGATTAGGAAATCAGTCAAGGAAACAGAAAAGTCCAAAAACTAGGGCAGATGTTTACTTACTAATAACAGCAGATAGTTTTCATGTCCTGATATGCCTAGGGGCCCTTCCACACAGCCATATAACCCAGAATATCAAGCCAAGAAATCCCACAATATCTTCTTTGAACTGGGTTATCTGAGTCCACACTGCCATATAATCCAGTTCAAAGCAGATAATGTGGGATTTCCTGCTTTGATGTTCTGGGTTATTTGGCTGTGTGGAAAGGCCCTTACTGATCTTATCTGACATCTTCCTGATATTTTAAATTTTCTGAATTGATGGTGTTGCCTTAAGCTTTTGAAAAATGTGCTTTCTACTCTATTTCACACGTTTGTAGAATCACAGAGTTTTAAAGATGGATGGGACATTGGACATCATCTAGTTCAACCCTTTTCTTGGGAAACGTGAACCCATAGTAGCCCTGAAAGAGGACCATCCAATCTCTGCTTAAACCACATGTGTCAAACTCAAGGCCCATGGGCCAAATCCAGCCCACCAGGGGACCTTCCACACAGCTGAATAAAATCCCACATTATCTGCTTTGAACTGGAATATATAGCAGTGTGGACTCAGATAGCCCAGTTCAAGGCAGATATTGTGGGATTTTCTGACTTGATATTCTGAGTTATATGGCTGTGTGTAAGGGACCTGTGTCATTCTATGTGGCCCTCCTCCAGATGCTGGACTCCAATTCCTGTATTCCTCCTCATTAGACATCATGACTAGAGCTGATGGGAGTAGGGATACGGTGACATCTGGGAGGCTGCAATTAGTTTTGTTTGGTCAGGAGAGTGGGGCTTGATTTGAGATACAAGGCTTGTGGATAGGATGTCTGGCTTTAAAATGGCGTTCAGCCTTTCCACAACTTCAGCGCCACAAGTGCAATCCCCATTGTTCCCAATCCAAATAATAGATAATCAAAGGGGATGAGAGTTGTCATTCAGTAACATCCAGGGCCACAACCAGATAAAATCTAAAGAGCACTGATCACTATTTACAAAAATTATAGCAGACCTTCTTTATGGATTCTCTGTCCATAGATTCAACAACATTTTGATGGCAACCATAAGGCTGATGTGGCCCTCGATCAAAAAAATTCTGACATCCTTGGCTTAAATCAAGCCCTCCCATTTCTCATGATTCACTTGTCCTAGTCAGGGCCTACCCAAGCCATTTTTCTAACCAAGCAACAAACTGGCATAGCTTTTATTTGAATCTTTCATCAACGGTGACAGTGGGAGAGTAATGTGCCCTTAGATCTGTGAGGCAACCAACTCCTGTTCTAATGACAAGAAACTCTAATGTTATTGTGATGTTGAAGATGAACCTAGTTATGTCTCCACAGGCGTCATCAGCAATTGGACAGATGAGAACCGCATCCCACCCTGTACCATCTTCCAGGCATTCAAATATTACCTGGATATCACCACCCCTCCCACACCAATCCTGTTGCAACAGTTTGCCTTACTGGCCACCAATGACAAGGAGAAGAAGCGCCTCCAAGTTCTTAGCAAGGTCAGTGGTTAGGGCTGGAGGGGAGGACTGTGATGAGATACTGAGGTGCCTTTCAGCCTCTCCCTCAATCCCATTGCACTGCCCTCATATTTACAAGGTAGATAATGCTTAAGGCATTGGCAAAATGTTACAGTCTTGGGAAAAGCCTCCTGACCTAGATAGATCAGGAGTGGGGAACAAATGGCCCTCTACATGCTGATACACACACACACACATCAAAACACTGAAAACATAATAAAATTGTTCATCTATTCCCAAATCTGTAGCCCCCCTCCCCCTGCATCACTCATAATAGTGTTGTATACAGCTCTGTCAATTCTGTTACTTCTGCTTGTTCTAATGTCATCCAATACATGTAATTATTGTAATATGTTTTCTAATTGTTCATCCACAATCTTTCTTGGATTGTGGATGAACACACTTGCTTTTACACACAACGCTAATAAATGGCTTCTGCGTGTTATCAAACAGATCTTCTTTAATTTCTTCTTCTGCTAATCTTAATTTATAGGTTGACTTTTCCGGTAGGGCTATAGCTCACACCTTATTTAACTATTTTTTATTTATATTCTCTGAGCCCAGAATCTAGGTAGTATAAGATTTCTGTTTACCAAATTATTACTCTGAATTAAAAAAATCATGAGTAGGGCACCCCTGAACTGTACTATTCCCCCCACTGTTTGGCTTATCCACAATCAACCTTCTAAATGCTGTTGATATCCAACTCCAAACCCCCACAGTGACCACAGCCAGCATGTAGGTCTGACTTCCCCCTGCCATGTTTAAAAGGGGTTTGTTCTGCTGGCATTGCTCCTTTGGCAGCCATCGCCAGAAAGGGGAGCTTTTCTAGATGGGGAGTTTGTCAGAGTATCAAGAGAAGACTGGCCTAACCTAATGCACTTTGTTGTTGTGAGTTTTTCGGGCTGTATGGCCATGTTCCAGAAGCATTCTCTCCTAATGTTTTGCCTTCTGGAACATGGCCATAAAGTCTGAAAAACTTATAACAACCCAGTGATTCCGGCCATGAAAGCCTTCAACAATACACTAATGCACTTCCTCTCTCATCCAGGGTCTGCAGGAGTATGAAGAGTGGAAATGGTCCAAGAACCCCACCATGGTTGAAGTGCTGGAAGAGTTCCCCTCTGTGCAGATGCCCTCCACCCTCCTGTTGACTCAGCTTCCATTGCTTCAACCTCGCTATTACTCCATCAGCTCCTCTCCAGACATGTATCCTGATGAGGTTCACCTCACCGTGGCCGTGGTCTCCTATTGCACCAGAGGTAACAAGAAAAAAAGCAGAGGGTATTTTGGGATTGAAAAGTGAGCGTGGAGTCCAAACCCTACCTAGATGTGAGAAGTCTAAATGCCACTTCGTACGAGGGTGGGTCAAAAAGTTTTGCCTCCTGTGGCAGAAAGTTATGAATGAACATATAACAGCAGAAGTTGCTACAGATCATAGCCTGAACTATCCTCTATGCAAAATTACCATTCAACGTAGTCACCATCAGTTTGTTCACATTCGTGCCATTGTTTAACCCAGGCATCAAACCCATTTTGGAAAAATTCAGGGTTTTGCTTCATGACCCATGATTTTAAAGCTGTTTTAATGTCATTCAAGCCACTGAATCTGAAACCACATAAGTTGTCTTGCAGAGGTCGCACATTGCTGATGTCCATTATAGCATCCCCATAAACATTGTTCAAGCGATTATAGGTGTGCAACCTTCTTTTCTCAGAAATCAGTGACAACTTTCTTTTAGATTCAGATTTATGGTTCCAGTCAGACAATCTGAACAAGAAAAGACTTTATCAGTAGAGTAAGGTTACCTCTATCATATCATGCATAGATAGTCCGGTGGCTGTGAAAGAAATAAAAGTTAGAGCGATGGAGGCATTACTTTTTGACCCATCTTCATATTCTTGAGATTCATCTGTTGAGCGCTACCTTTGCATTTTGTCTTATTGTTTTCAGTGTTCAATAGCTGACTTGATCCCCAGGCTTACGCAATCGGTTTAAACGATGACATTGAAATCACATTCTGTGTTTATTGTGCTTTAACTTTTATCTCAGCTCTTTTAATATGTGTCTGTTTTAATATGTGCTTTTATGGTTGCATTTTAACTGAGTTTTAGAAGTCAGATGTCCAGATTCAGAATCAGAGTAGTGATTTAAGGGCCAATGCTGGATGTTTTCTATGGCAATGCTTCCACATTAACCACTATCCTTTCTGCCTTTTTCTAGATGGGGAAGGGCCAATACACCATGGAGTTTGCTCTTCTTGGTTCAACCGGATCCAGGAAGATGAAATAGTGCCATGTTTTGTCAGAGGGTAAGATGTGAGAAACTAGACATTTTAAAAGTCTGGAAAGATTGGACTTGAGCCTGGTTTTCATCTTGTTGAAGCCCAGGAGACTGAGCCAGGCTGCAGTCCTATGCACTCTTACAACCTGCATTAAACACATTGAGATAGGCTATACTGTGAGGTTGAATTAAAATAGTTGGCAATAAAATAAGCAAAGGAAACAGTGTTGGACATAAATATAGTCCAAAATCCATATTAGTGTAATGTCCTTATTAGATGAATCAAAAGCAAATGTGTACAAGTGTTTGAGATTTCTAGAGAGAGATACTCAGGATGGAGGTCTGATTTTGTTCTGATGCTCTCGGTGCATTTACTCCACTCCACTCCACTCCACTCACAAGGAAGCTAAACGTGCTTGGTTGATCACAGTCCACCTTTCTTTTCTTTACCCAGAGCTCCTGGATTCCACATGCCACAAGATCCACAGGTCCCTTGCATCCTGATAGGTCCTGGGACAGGGATTGCTCCTTTCCGGAGCTTTTGGCAGCAGAGACTCTTTGATATCAAAAACAAAGGTAGGTCCTGGGTCGGTATTTTCATGAGGTCTCTTTGCCTTCTCTTAGTAAAGCTCCAAAACAGAATGGCCAACTCTTCTAACTTGCAATACAGCACTGCCTTTCTTGTTGTGAGTTTAAAGCGCCATATGGAGTTCTCCTGCACTCCACTTTATCCTCACAGCAACATCTCTGAAGACACTCTTGCCAACATATCCACTTCTTCTTCTGAGGCTGCACACATCTGGAAAGGATTGGTAGTTCTGGTTCTCTAGATTATAGAAGTTTATCTCTCATTTTTATTTTATTTATTTGTCATATCAGAAGTGAACCAAGGGTACACTTGTAATGTATTTTTTAAAAAACACAAAATTTAAAAACTTGGCATTATATTAAATGTCCTTTGACCAGTAGCTGGCCACTTGGAGTGCCTCTGGTGTTGCTATAAAAAGGTCCTCCATTATGCATGTGGCAGGGCTCAGATTGCATTGCAATAGGTGGTCTGTGTTTTCTCCTCTCCACACTCGCATGTCATGGACTCCCCTTTGTGGCCCCATTTCTTAAGGTTGGCTCTGCATCTCATGGTGCTAGAACACAGTCTGTTCAGCGCCTTCCAAGTCACCCAGTCTTCTGTGTATCCAGGAGAGAATCTCTCATTTGGTATCAGACACTGATTGAGGTGCTGTATTTTAGCCTGCCACTTTTGGACTCTTGCTTGCTGAAGTGTTCCTGCAAGTATCTCTGTAGATCTTAGAAAGCAATTTCTTGATTTAAGATGAAGAATTTATCATGCTGGCTGATATCCAAACAGGGAATGGGCCGGAGATATCACTGCCTTGGTCCTTTCATTACTGGCTGCTACTTCCCAGTGAATGTCAGGTGGTGCAATACCAGCTAAACAGTATAATTTCTCCAGTGGTGTAGGGGGTAGACATCCTGTGATAATGTGGCACGTCTCATTAAGAGCCACATCCACTGTTTTAGTGTGGTGAGATGTGTTCCACAGCAGCAGAGTAGCAAAGCACAAGGACAGGGGTCTTCACTGTATCTGGTTGTGATCCCCAAGTTGTGCCAGTCAGCTTTCATATGATATTGTTTCTAGCATCCACTTTTTGCATGATATTCAAGCAGTGCTTCTTGTAGATCAGAGCACAGTCTGGAGTAACTCCTGGGTATTTGGGTGTGCTGCAATTCTGCAATGGGATTCCTTCCCAGGTAATGCTCAGAGCTTGAGATGCTTGTCCTAGATGTGACCAGAAGTTATCTCTCATGATGTGGATTAAGTGCCTTCTGCTCCTGGGAAGATGGATGCAATTGTACTACACTTCCGTTCCCTTCTCTCTCTTCCCCTGTCTCATCCCTAGGACTGAAACCTTGCCCCATGACACTGGTCTTTGGTTGCCGCCAGTCCAAGATTGACCACATTTACAAAGAGGACACTTTGCTGGCCAAAAGCAAAGATGTCTTCAAGGACCTGTTCACGGCCTACTCCCGGGAGCCAGATAAACCAAAGGTAGCCCAGAATGTTTTACTTGACACCAGCTCTTGTGATGGGTACTGTTTTCCATTCATAAATATATAACTATGTCAAAATATAATTGTTACTTAAGAGATAGCTTTAGCTCTTTTGCACTGTAATTATAACTTAGTTGCTTTGGACCACAGGCCTGCAACTGATAATGTTTGGATTTTTCAAGGTAACCTTTAGCTACTTTTAAGAAACAAGTAAGAAAAGAGTTGCCTTTTTAAAATGGTAATTCTAACTACTTCACATTTTTGAACTGTAGCAGTAACAAATTACTTTCTAAAGTAACTGCCAGCACTCTGAGAGACTTTTCCCCACCCATGAGCCACTTTCTGGAATGTGATGGCCCCTTCCCTTTCGCAATACACAATGAGGTCCTAGCTGTACCCTTTCCCTTTTTGTAGAAATACGTGCAGGACATCCTGCAGGAGCAGCTGGCAGGATCTGTTTACAAGGCACTGAAGGAACAAGGCGGCCACATCTATGTCTGCGGTGATGTCACCATGGCCGGAGATGTTCTCAAGACCATCCAAAACATTGTGAGGCAGCAAGGCAAGCTGGCAGCCGAAGAGGCCAGCACTTTCATCAGCAAGCTAAGGGTGAGCACACATCCCCCAGGGCACTCACTGTTCTGGTCATACTTGTCTGTAGTCACCTTCCCAACCTGGTTCTGCTCCCATATGCTGGACTACAGCCCCTATTATTCACCAGGTGGTGGGAAATGTAGTTTAATGTGTTCAGAAGATGCAGGGTGGTGAAAAGCTGCACTGCAGCCTCAGACCTTCACCAGAACAGGCAGTGGAGCTGGACTGGAACTCACCATAAGAAGACCCTGGCTTCCATCTGGATGGTACATTTACTAGTGGACAGGTCCATGTCCTGAAGATTATAATTCAACACATGGGTATCTCATAGTGTGGGAAGGAGAAGTGGGTTCTAATGGAGGTTGGATAAAGAAGGAAAGAATGTATGTTTATTTTATACCACCCTGGTCTTCTAGATTAGAGTTCAGATCTTTTGGATTTCAGCTTCCCAGTTCTCTGACCATTGGCTATGCTGGCAGTGCTTTTGGACTTTGAAGCAAAAGTCCTGGACAAACAAAAGACTGAGAATCACTGAATTCTCTTTTATGCTTTCACTGATGGACCAATGTTCTGCAAGATAGTAACCATGAATGGACTTTCTGTCTTGTGCTTCTCTTCCCCCATTCTGCAGGATGACAACCGATACCACGAGGATATATTTGGAGTCACTTTGCGCACGTATGAAGTGACTAACCGCCTCCGATCCGAGTCGATTGCGCACATTGAGGAGAGCAAGAAAGACACAGATGGGTGAGTGAGCTCACTGCCTTTTTAAAAAAATCCTGAGCTTTTGTTTCTCTAAAATATGTGGGCCACAGAAGAGAATCCTTTTGCTGTCCAGAAACTGGATCACAGCAAAACCTGCTGCCATCCTTTGAGGCTCATGTTGAGAATGGGTGGGGATTACTATGGAGCTGGCTCATGGCAGTTTCTTGCAGAACTTGGATAAGCTGCCTTTTTGGGCTACAACCCCTAGATGCCTCCAGCCATTGGGGCCATGGGTCGTATACCATTTCAATGCTTTGTTCTTTTTGCAGTATAGAGGATATGGCATTGACTACAGAAAATTCTCGTTTTGCACCTCCAAAGGGCTGAGAAAAAAAGCTAATTTGAGACCAGGGGTAGGAAACTTTTGACCCTTTGGATAATTTAGCCTATAAGTCCCAGATAACAACAACAACAACAACAACAACAATAACTTAATTTTATATCCCACCTCCATCTCCCTGAAGGGACTTGGGACGGCTTACATAGGAACAAGCCCAGTAAAACAAAGATTGAAGCATAAAGCAATAAAATAAAATTGAAATAATCAAAAATAAAATAAACACATCACAATAACACAAGACAACATCATGAAAACAATCTCTAGCCTGAACAGTAATCAATACTGATCATTTGAATGGGATACTACACAGTCACAATGGACAGAGTTTTAATTTTACAACCAGAGAAGGGAAGCTGGGACCTGAGGTGCACTCCATTTTTGCGTGACTACAATTCTCATTAACGCCAATGTACAATGTACAATGCACTTGACAAGCAAAACATAACTTTGAAAGGAGAGTTTGTAAGCTTTTGGTGTTCTTCCTGGTGCTGTGGTCCCTATACCTTTCAGTGCAGGTCCGGGACAATCTGAAATTCTAGATTGAGACAGGAAAGGAAGGTTATGACATTTTTTTAAAAAAGCAGGCTTAGATCACAAAGGGGTGCTACTGTAGAAGGTTATCACCAATGATGCTTAAATCCCTTTGCAATGCAGGTGTGATATCAGCTCTAACCGTTAGCTTTCTTGCGGGGTGTTTTCTTCCTAGCCTTGAGTAACCATTGCCCAGGATGGGATGCCAAACTCTAGCCAGTCATAGCAGCTCCTGCTGGACTGCTCCAGCTTTGGGGGGTGGGGGTGGGGGGACTGGATCCTGTACTGACATGTCCACATCTGCCCCTTTTCTCCAGGGACTCCATGGCCCACGGCAAAAGCTCTTCTGTGTCTCGTCCTGTTGTTGTGTCCTGACGGATATGTGTTGGCCAGCGTGCAGACGGTGACCCAGGAGATGGCAATGAAGCCAAGGTTTCCGTTCCCCTCGCACACCTCTCCTTGCATCCTGTGGCCGTTTTTTTTCTCTTTGTGTGCCCTTCTCTGGAGTTCCCCCGCTAAAGCGTGATGGCTTTTCTCAACCTGCAGTGGCTCTTATACACACAACACAGACAACTTTGTTCTGTCTCTTGTTAACAACAAGGACTTGTGGGGGGGTTGTTTTTTTGGAGGATGCATGAAATGACTTCTTAGGAATCATCATTTGTATCTTTCAGTGTTCTGCAGGGGTGTGCGTGTATGTGTGTGTGCAGGATCAGAGGGTCAAGAATAGCAGCAGAGAAATGTGGGATTGTTACAATCTTTGGGCCATATTCCCACCCCACTAGCCTTCATTGTCCACACTCTGGCAGGAGGAAGGTGGGGAGGCAGTGATTGACTGCAGCCTTGTGATCCTCTATAACATGCGACTGGTTGCTCTTGGACAGGTCACAGTGTTACCTTCATCCGCATGCTACGTTCTGTTTGCACTGTGTTTCTGTGATTGCCTTGCCCCCTTCTCCTTTGCCTGTACCAGCTGAGTTCTCAACTCGCTGCAGTGTGTTTGTGCACAGTGGATTCAGTGGGAGAGTGGGGCCAGATCAGGGTGGGCAACTCTGACTGCTTCCCTCATCTCAGATTTTTCAGGCTATAAGCCACATAGTCTTTTGCCATTGCCTGTGCTAGCTAGGGCTGGCTGAAGTTTCCACCTTCACTTCCCAAAGCAGCTGGAAGGCTGTGGTTGCTCGCCATGCTTTCAGCTGTCCTGTGTGTTATTTGACTTGCTTTGAAGTGCAGTAAGCCAGCTCAGTTGCATATACTCCCTTGCTCCACCTGTTCGATCTTTTATGACCCCACTGCTTGAACTCTGATTTACAAAGGTAGACAGGTCTTAACCAACAGGCTACCAAGGAGCAACTGTCGACCATGTCCTGCCTTCTAGAGTCATGGTACGTCGGAGATCATTCTAGGGCTTCTGCTCTCTTACCGTCATGGGATGGGCATGGGCATATTACCCTTTTCCTCAGCAAGACAAAAATCATTGTGCCAAAGAACCATCGCACTCAAGACACGTTGTTGTTTGAGGTAAAGACACCTCATTCTTCCCCAGTCAGGATGCATAGTACCCAGACTTGATTGAGTTAGACTTCAGGCAAGAGTAAAAGTGTGGCCGTAAATAAATAAAACAATTGAGTGCCTTTGCATGACACCCCAAACCAACTCTCTCAGGCAGCCACCCCATTGTTGTGTAAAGATGAAACTGTCCCTCCAGCCATGCAGCCACATAGGCAAGGGGGAGATGCAATGCTGACCTTCTGGATACCATTGGAAGGCAGCCTCCACCAACGAGCTGTGGTGAAAGATGAAGTAACTGGGCAACAGCATTTGAAAGGCTAGCAATTTCCACCCTCGACCTACAAAGTTTCTGTCTCACCATGAAAGAAATAGATTCTGGAAGAGAGAAGGCATTGCTAGGCCTGGTTCCATAGGGATTCGGCCCCACATCTGTTTCCACAAACCTAAGGATCTCATCTGAAAGTCCTGTTTCTAGTGGTGCTGAGATGGTTTTCCTAAAACCACTTCTTTTGGAGGAATTGTCTTCTTGCCTGCAGCCAGAACATAGGATTTTCTTCATTCTCCTTTTGGCCCAGACTTTTCAGGGCAGAGGTTTATCAGCATGTATATGCACCCATATATGCCATTCACTCTCTTTCTTAGCCACACACTTGCTTACTTACTTGATGGTTGTCCGTGGTCACCTCAAGTGTGAGAAAATGAGATAGATATCACAATGATTCGTAAAAATCCAAGGCATCCCCATCTTCCCCAGAACATGATAGAGCTTCCTTTTAAGGGAAACTCTGAGCTACCATTTCAGCAAATAACCAAATGCTCATAGTGGTAAATCCATTAATATGTCGACAATAAAATACTTTGGAGGCCTAACCTGCTGCCCAGTTTTCCTTTTGAAGAGTTTGGCATCAATAGCAACAAAAACATGTCCTTTTCAGTTTAGGTATTAGAGATATTTAATGAAAGGGAGCATCTTTTGAGGATGGAGGCAATGCTATATGGGGGCATTAACTCTCTTAAGGCACTTAAGAATCACAAATGAAAGATCTGCCAGACAGAGATTGAAAAGGCAAGTGAACAGTCTCCTTGGAATTTTAGACATTATATACATTCCTCGGAGGAATTGCCTTTCCAGGTGGATGCATTGCTGCTGTCAGATGAATGACAAGCTCTGGCTGGGTTTGGTGGCTGCCCTTTGATTCAGGCAGTAATCCTATGGATGGTTTGTTATTGAAATCCTTTAGCATAACCTAGGCCTGGTGAGATCAGAATATATTACATTCCAGTTCAGTTCAAATTCTACACATTCCCAAAGTCCTGACGGTATCCTGCTGGGATTATCAAAGAATACATGCAGCCGATTGCCTGGCCAATCGGCTGCCACATGCCACATGAGCTTAAGCTACCACATGAGCTTAATATCATTTATGACACCAGATTAGCCATCAGAGTTCTCCCAAAAATTTCGAAGATTTTGCCCTTATTTGAAGCTGTGATGTGGGCAAGTACAACTGGATCTCCAGACTGCATGTCTGTTTATTGTGAGTTTACACAAGATGCATGTGTGTGTTTGTTTCCCTTATCTTTATCTCTGTGTGGAGTGCTGGGGGCTGAAAAAACGGGCTTCAAATGCTCAAGAAGAAGAATGACAACAGACAAGCGAGGCCCAGATGTAAACTTCTCTATTAGTTGGCTCAGTTGTTTGTCAGTAATACTTTAAGACATATCATGGCACATTCAGCAGTGGAATGCTGGAAAAAGATGACATTTTGTGTCCATTTAACTGATGAATGAATTCCCCCACCTGACTCTATTTATTACAGTGCAGTTGGTCCATATAGATGTTGCCTGTTGCATTTTTCTTCTTTAAAATGTAGTCAGCCACATTGATGCCAGCCCAGGGTTGCGAATCATGCAGTTCCCTGCAGCCATAGCCAGCCCAGACAATGGCGAGAGGTGTTGGGATGTGTAGATCACCAGTACCTGAAGGGCTGCATGATTCCCAGCCTTGCCTCATCCCTTTTCAGTGGAAGTCCTCTGGTGTAGCTATTGCTCTGGTTTCCCCACATGCTTGCTTTCTATAAAAGAGGCGTTTCTCTTCCCACTGCAGCGAGGCTCACATTTTGTCAGTGGTTGCAACTGCAATATTTAACTGTGCAGACAGTGTTGTAGCAGTACCTACTGGTCCAATACAAACATTACAGATTAATAATTGTTACTATTGGGGGGGGGGGGGACATGTCAGTTCCAGTGCAAAAAAAAACCCCTCATAATTAACTTTTACCTTTATCAGTTAATGGCAATTCTGTGTTTTGGTGATGCAAACATGCCTCTACTCCCTCCCATGAGCTTTGGCCGGTTAACTTAAAAGTGCTCTGGTGGTGTGGTGGGATGAACAGCCGTATATATCTTTCTGCCTTTGTAGGGCTTTTGGCATAATGTGGGTGAGCAACGTTGGGAGATCTCGAGGTCTCCTACGCATTCAGTAGACTGTGGGTGTTCTCCCCTGCTACCGTAACCATTTCTCATTCCTTCCCCTTCCCACTCTGCTCCCTTGTGTCACTGTGCCTTCTTGGTTATTTATTTGTTAATGGGTATTTTTGTTTGTTTGTTTTTGAGTCACTGCCATAAATCAAAAGCTGATGAAGTTGCATTTCCTTGTGCAGATGGGCAGTGCAATGCAGTTTGTAATGTTTTAAAAACACTGCACAAATGTCTGTTTCTCGGGAGGGTGGGAGCTGTATTTGATCATATCAGTGCTTTACGCCGTCAGAAATATTTTATGTTCCTTTACCTCCGAGCTCTTGATGCTGCCAAGTCTCCACCATTTGTACAACATGCTCAGCACCTCTTTCATGGACTGACTCCTGCTCTTGTTTGCAAGGTATCTACACTGTTATAAAGCATGCACCTCCTTTCTGTATAGTTCGAATCTTCTGATTTTATGGAATAAAACTACTTATGCCTGTTTGCATTGCAATCAATTAAAAAAGTGAATTGAATCCATCACACTCTCCTGCCTGGTCTTTGAACATCTCAAACTGCATTGATAATTATTATCATCATAGGCAATCCCTCTTGGCCAAGTTTGATTGTCTTCCAAGGGTAGAGTCTTAGTAGAGGGTCCATAGATCCGCATGGTCTTTTGCAGTTAGGACATCATAAGAAGCATTTGTAAGTCCAGGAAATACTCCCACTTTGGAAAGTGAACTCCCAACAAGAAATGCCATATAGCAAGGTTATATCATGAACATTTTCTGAGCACAGGATCACCCTGGCTTGTAGCCAATGCAAATCCGTCTCCTAGGGATATAATGTGGATGTGGGGGGATACAAATGGTCGGTTGAAGAGGTCACACAGTTGGCTCTGAGAGTCTATGGCATCACAAAGCTCCTTCCTCTTCTTCCCAGAAGTGTTCTACCAACAAAGAAATGCAAGGAAGCAAGTGTAGCTCAGTGATACAGCCACCTTTCATGTCGTCTCGGTGTAGCCTCTTGTCTCTCCTGGTGGGCCTGATAAGGCTCTTCTATCCCAAAACTGCCAAATGATATTGACATTGGGTTGTTGTAGGTTTTTTGGGCTATATGTACATGTTCTAGAGGCATCCTCTCCTGACGTTTCGCCTGGATCTATGGCAAGCATCCTCAGAGGTTGTGAGGACCTCACAACCTCTGAGGATGCTTGCCATAGATCCAGGCGAAACGTCAGGAGAGGAGGCCTCTAGAACATGTACATATAGCCTAAAAAACCTACAACAACCCAGTGATTCCAGTCTGAAAGTCTTTGACAGTACGATATTGACATTACTGGGTTTAGATGGACTTGTGGTCAGATAAGGAGAAAGCAGATTCCTATATGGGAGACTTATTCCCGAACAGAGTGAGGTGATCAGCTCATACACAAAGGACTGTTACACAGCAGAGGACAACTTCCGATCACCAAGGATGAGGAAAGACTGAACTGCCTATTGAGGAGGCTTCTGTATATGGCATGATGGGGAGCATCTTGTCCTCTTTTGGGCAGCAAGGTGTCTTTAACCAGCCCTGTCCCAATGCTTGGACTTCAGGGAAAAGGAAGAATCAGGATCCAATAGAAGCAGGTAAAACAATAATGCTCACTGGTCAACTCTGCTTAGGATTTAATTTCTGAAGAGAAGCAGACCTACACTGAAACATCAGCTACTCGGGATGAAAACACAAAAGGTTTCCTGACTACATCAGATCTTTGTATTTCTTTTTTTAAAATGCAGGTACCATTTGGATGTTTATATAAATGTGCAACTTATACACTACATGAAGATGATGAAGACCTCCGCAAGCAAGCGGCACCAGTTATGCATTCAAACTTCATACAGAGCACACTTAGAGGATCTGAGGCTGGATCTACACTGCCATATAATCCGGTTTCTGAATCCAGATTATCAGATTTGAACTGGATTATAGGAGTCTACACTACCATATAATCCAGTTTCCACTCAGAAACTAGATTATATAGCAGATGGGGCCTGAGCTGGCAGTTGAACAGGAAAGGGATTTCAAAATCATGGTGGACAACACACTAGAAACAATGGGCCAGCTGCTGTGAAAATGTCCAATTCTATGCCAAGGCTCACCAGAAAAAGGATCAAAAAAATAACACCATCAAGCACATAGTGCTTTGATATCAGTCTCACCTGTGATAGCTGGCAGCTTCCAAGTCAGGGTAGATCTACAATATCAAATGAATGCAATTTGACTGCACTTGGATCTGCCCTGACTCAGTGCTATGGAATTATGGGAATTGTAGTTTTACCAGGTCTTTGGTCTCTGCCAAAGAGTGGGTGCCTCACCAAACCACAACACCCCTTATCTCATAGCATTGAGCCAGGACAGTTCAAGTGTCAATGCAGCCTCAGTGAGACTGTTCATTTACTCCAGGTTCTAAACTGGATTTTAAAGAAACCCTGAGACTGGATTTCCTTTTTAAAGGAACTGCTAAAACTATCTGGAGGATCCAAAGCAGCGCCTTGGGGAGACCCTGTAATGTCCAGAGTAAAGGCCAATATGGATTCACCAGCCCGCTAACATGGAAGGCATGACTACCAGGGATCAATGGAGCCAAAAATATATTGGTGAGCTGGAAAAGGCACCAAAGGGGGGCAACCAAAATGATCCATGGGCTAATCAGCTCCCCTAAAAGGAAATGCTATAACATCTACCTCTATTTCACTAAGGGAAAAAAGGTGAGTAGGGAAGATGATAAACTGCACAAAGTCATGCATGATGAGAAGAAAGTCTGTAGGATGCCTTCATATATAGAGAGGGGGGAGGTGTTCATAAATCATTTGCCACCTTGGAGGGGTCTTCTGGGATGAAAAAACCCCTAAAATTCCCAGGATGCAATAGTCTTCAGCCACATACTTAAAGCAGTGTCAACTTGCACTTATTAACTTGCAGCTAACCTTCTCTATACTGGTCTACATTTTGAGCTGTCTAATGCACATGCGCCCCAATCAGAGCTGTCATTATTATTACCCTTGTCCTTGGGTAATAGTGATAGCTCTGATTGGGGCACATGGTGCAACACATGGAAGTTAAAGCTGGGCTTCCAGAAAATTTCTTTGGGGTTCATTTATTTATTTCGTGTCAAAATCATTGCATAAATAAATAAGTTTAAAACTGATAAAATAAAAGGAACACAAGCAGCTAAACAGTTTTTGACCAAAAAGAGGCAACAGCAACTTCATTGTCAGTAACTTTAAACAGTTCTTCCTCTGTGCATGAGGCAGGGCATGGTGGGCAAGCATACAGATGCGAAGCTGTTTGTTCTGCTCCACAGACACACAGGTGGAGGATTCTTCTAGGTAGGGCCATTTTGCCAGGTTGTCTTTTGCTATGCCCACTCTGCTTCTGAGTCTGTTCAGAGACTTCCACGTTGTCCATTCTTGGTTTGCCCCTGAAAGAAGGTGTGTGGGAGGCATCCAATTGGGATATTCTTGTTGTTGCTGGAAGAACATTTAGAGGAGAATCTACTGGGAGGAGACTGATAGCTATACAGTGGGTGGCTTTCACAGTGTCCAACCTTATTTCTCGCACAATTAGCAGCAACTTTCTGTCGCATATGGGGGCGGGGGGAATGCCAGCTAGCTTATAGAGTCTATCAGCAGGTGTAGGTTTAAGACATCCTGTGATTATTCTACACGTCTCATTTAGTGTTATATTCACCTGCTTCGCATGGGCAGATTTATGCCAGATGGGGCAGGCATACTCAGCAGTCAAGTAAGACAAGGCCAGGGCTTATGTTCTTGTTCATGTTGGGTCTGCACCCCATGCACTATCAGGAAGTTTCCGAAGGATGTTATTGCATGCAGCTACTTTGTGCTTGGTGTTCATATGCTGCCTTGAAGTAGACTATTCTTTTGCCTCCTCCATCTCCTTTTCCTACAATGAAACTCCACATAGAAGCTGCGATTTTCTAGGAGGGTCTGGATAGGTCTTTGGGATTATTTTTAACTATTGAGCCAATTGGAAGGTGGCGCAGGCCATACCAAGTGGCACCCTATGGGGAGAGGGCAAGGGAATGCCTCTACTATTATGCCTTAGTTACATCCCATTTAGACTACTGTAATGGGTTCTGTATGGGGCTGCCCTTGAAAACTGCCCAGAAACTCCAACTAGTTCAGAGATCTGCAGCCAGGCTATTGACAGGTGCTGGACCCAGGGAGCATACTACCCTGCTATTACAACACCTACATTAACTGCCAATGTTTCCGAGCCTGATTTCAGGTGCTGGCTTTGACCTTTAAAGCCCTAAAACGGTTCAGGCCCAACTTATCTATCTGACCACATCGCCTCTTACCAACCTGCCTGAACACTAAGATCTTCTTCTTCTTGGCAGGGGGTTGGACTGGATGGCCCATGAGGTCTCTTCCAACTCTTTGATTCTATGATTCTGAAGAGACCCTTCTCTCATTGTCCCCGCCACAAATACAGTTGGAGGTGATGGGGGGGGGGTATCGGTAATCACCCTGGCCCTTTGGTAGTCCCTCCGCATTGAGTTTGAAACTGCCCCTTCCTTCCCTTTTCTCTTTCAAGAACCAGTTGAAGACCTACCTGTTCAAGCAAGCTTTTGACGAATGAATTCAACTGCTAATGACAGCAAGATCTATTTGCACTGCGCCTAGTGAAATATAACAACAACAACAACAACAACAACAACAACAATTTATTTATATCCTGCCATCATCTCCCGGCCTAAAGGGACCCGGGGTGGCTTACATGGTAACAAAAATACTGCACAGAACACATAAAATACAAAAAAAGTTTGAAAAAAATCAATAAGCAATACCAAATAACATAAAATAACAACTTACAAAAATTAACAAAAAGCATCTCTAATTCAAATAAAAGTAACTAGTAACAACACAACAGTATATGGAAGTTGAAAATGAGCTATATATATACTATTTATATTTAAGAGTTTCCATAGCCATTGCCCTGTGAGGTCCTGCAGCGCTCAATACTGTCTCCCATGTTATTTAACATCTACATGAAGCCGTTGGGAGAGATCATCTGGAGTTTTGGAGTTCGATATCATCTGTATGCAGATGATGTTCAACTCTATCATTCCTTCCCACCTGCTACTAAGGAGGCTGTTTAGGTCTTGAACCGGTGCTTGGCAGCTATGACGGTCTGGATGAGGGTGAAGAAATTGAAATTGAATCCAGACCAAGACAGAGGTACTCCTGGTCAGTTGCAAGGCTGAACAGGGCATAGGGTTACTATCTGTGTTGGATGGGGTTACACTCCCCCTGAAGGCGCAGGTTCACAGCTTCACAGCTCCTAGACTCATCACTGAGGGGAGCATTCACACTTGTGCATCAGCTGTGCCCGTACCTTGGGAAGTCTGATTTGGCCACGGTAGTCCACAGTCTGGTTACATCCCATATAGACTAGTGCAACATGCTCTACATGTAGTTGCCTTTGAAGACTGTTTGGAAGCTTCAAATGGTCCAGCAGGCGGCAGCCAGATTGCTCACTGGAGCAGCATTCAAGGAGCATACAATTCCTTTGTTATGCCAACTCCACTGGCTGCCGGTTTGCCCAGCTTACCTGTCCGAATGTATCTCTCCCTATGAACCATCTAGGAGTTTAAGAGCATCTGGGGAGGCCCTGCTCTCAGTCCCGCTTTCTTCACAGGCACAACTGGCAGGGAGAGACAGGGCCTTCTCAGTGGTGACCCCTTGGCTCTTTCCCTAGGGATATTAGATCAGCCCCTTCCCTCCTGACCTTCCACAAAAAAGTGAAAACATGGCTTTTTGAATAAGCCTTGGGGAACGTAGTGCAATAGATAAACACGGAACTATGTGAAATCAAATACTGGAACGGCTTAGGACAATGTTTTTGGATGACAAGGCTAATAGTGAAAGTAGTGGTTGTATATGTTTTTAAAGGTTTTAATGTATGAATGTTATTATTCTGTTTTAAACGCTTATTGTAATTTTGTAAAACCACCTTGAGTCACCTTCGGGTTCGAGACAGGCTGGGTGGAAATATCGTAAATAAATAAATAAATGGTTTTAATGTGTAATATTTATCTATATTTTATTTCTGGATGTTGTTATGCTTTGTATGATTTTGGTCTTGTATTTCATATACAGTGTGCTTTGATTTGTATTGCATTATGTTGTGAGTCGCTTTGTAGTCACACAATCTTAAGCTATTACTCCCTTCAACGTTTTGTCCTAGGAGTACACCCCTCCTTGTACGAAGGTTTGTTTACCACCCTGTCTCTCTATGAGTACTCCCTTGCAAATAATTCTGCTCCTTTATCTCACCCTGAGTTTTTAAATCATTTTATTGTACATGCGGCCCGCTCACTGTTATTGTTTGTTTATTGTTTCCTTATGTTTTGTGCACATCGCTAATTGTATTCATATGTTTTTGTATTTTTCTATGCTGTTGTTTGCGTTTCAGTTTTTATTTTATTGTATTTTATATTATTGTAATTTGTTGTTTGGGCTTGGCCTCATGTGAGCCGCCCCGAGTCCCCGTTGGTGGAGATGGTGGCAGGGTATAAATAAAGTTTATTATTATTATTACATACTTACTTACTTAGGTGATCCATCGTACTCCGAGGATGATGGTCCTCCAAGTTCGGTGTTCTGGTGGCGGGTCCGTAGATGACTGTGGAGCCCTATTCTTGATCTGCATCTTCACCCACAGCGATGGCATCGGTTTCCAGGTGGAAGGCGGTCCCGGTCAAAGTTGGCTTGACGTGACTTCCTCTTGGCACATTTCCCTCTTTCGCCCTCCATTCATGCCTCTTCAAATTCTACAGCACTGCTGGTCACAGCTGACATCCAACAGGAGCGCTCAAGAGCCAGGGCTTCCCAGTTCTCAGTGTCTATGCCAGAGTTTTAAAGGTTGGCTTTGAGCCCATCTTTAAATCTCTTTTCCTGTCCTCCAACATTCCATTTTCCGTTCTTGAGTTCGGAATAGAGCAGTATGCTGATGACAATGTCGTATGTGCGCATTCAGAAGACCTACAAGCCACTCTAAACACCTTCGCAGAAGGATACGAGAAGCTCGGCCTGTTATTAAACATTGAGAAAATCAAAGTGCTCTTCCAGCAGTTACCAGCCAATCCCTCTCAAATGCCAGAAATACAGCTTAATGGTGTAACATTAGAAAATGTTGACCATTTCCGCTATCTTGGCAGCCACCTCTCCACAAAAGTCAACATTGACACTGAAATACAACATCGCCTGAGCTCTGTGAGTGCAGCATATTTCTGAATGAAGCAAAGAGTGTTTGAGGACTGGAACATCCGTAGGGATACCAAGGTGCTTGTTTATAAAGCTATTGTCCTCCCAACCCTGCTATAAGCCTGCTAGATGTGGACTGTCTACAGACGTCGCATGCAACTCCAGCGCTGCCTCCGGAAAATCCTGCAAATCTCTTGGGAAGACAAGCGGACAAATGTCAGCGTGCTGGAAGAAGCAAAGACCACCAGCACTGAAGCGATGGTCCTCCGCCATCAACTCCACTGGATTGGCCACATTGTATTATTTATTATTTGGGTCCCATTAGGGAGAAAAGTGGGATATAAATAAAGATGTTATTATTATTATTATTATTATTATTATTATTATTATTTACACAAAGCACAGTATGTCACAGCAAACGAGATCTATATCCTGGATTTCGTATCACAAAATCACAAGTCGAACGCTTCCCAAGCGTCTAGGACTGTGTGATGTATTTGCAAATGATGCGCGCAGATCCAAGTAAGGTGGCCTTTTGCAGTTGACAGATCGTGATTTTGTCAGTGTTTATTGTTTCCAAATGCCAGTTGAGATCTTTTGGCACGGCACCCAGTGCGCCAATGACCACTGGGACCACCTGTACTGGTTTATGCCAGAGTCTTTGCAGTTCGATTTTGAGGGCCTGATAGCGGCTGAGTTTTTCCTGTTGTTTTTCCTCAATGCGACTGTCACCCGGTATGGTGACATCAATAATCCAGACTTTTTTCTTTTCCACAATCGTGATGTCTGGTGTATTGTGTTCCAAAACTTTGTCATTATTATTATTATTGTTGTGCAGAAATGTGATATTATTTTGATTTTTTTTAAAAAAATCTGTAGTCTTTGTTTTTTTTATTTGACTACATAGAATTTTTTTTAAAAATCGAAATAATATCACATTTCTGCATAAAACATAGCAGAGGCTTTCCCTTCCCCCTCCCCCCGAGGCTGCCACTTGGTATGGTCCGCACCGCCTTCCGATTGGTTCCTTCCTGGGAACTATGAGCCAATCAGCAGCCGCTGGGGCCCAAACAGAAAACACCAATTGCGTGACGCTCCCCAGCGCGCGCCGCCCCTCTCTTGCTCGCAGGCTTCCGTCGGCTTGGAGACGTTCCCCGAGAGGTCCCTCAGGTAAACAGGCAAGATGGCGGCGGCGGTGTCTTCTTCTTCTTCGCCGCCGCCTTCTTCTCCTTCTCCTCCTCCTCCTCCTCCTCCATCGCTCAGTCGGGAGGAAGAGCCGGCCGCGAAGACCGGTCCCAACGCCCTGACGCTGACGGAGCTTCCCGGGGAGCTACTGGAACTCATCCTGTGCTGCGGGGCGCTGAGCGCCGTCGATTTGGCCCGCCTGGCCCGCACTTGCCGCCGCCTCAGGGAGGCCTGTCAGCCGCGTGGGAAGGTCTGGCGGGAGCAACTGCGGCTCAGGTGCGAGGGGCAAGGGGGGTTCTGCGCATGCGGACCGCGCAGGGGGGGGGGGACCTGGCTCCACGCCCTCCTCGAGAGCCCCTCCGAACAGGCCCGTGTCATGGACCTGTATTGTATTACGTTCTTGTGCTGCCTCGTGACACGAAAGAGTTGGTTGTTTGGGGTGTTGCTGTTTGTTTGTTTTTTGTCTTTCATACATTAGCCTTGTGTTTAACTGGCGTTGCCTTGAGTCTCTATTTCGGGATAGATATGAAACAATTCAATAAGGAAAGTCAGTGAATGTGTTGTCGAAGGCTTTCATGGCCGGAATCACTGAGTTGCTGTGAGTTTTCCGGGCTGTCTGGCCATGTTCCAGAAGCAATCTTTCCTGACCTTTCGCCCACATCTATGGCAGGCATTCTCAGAGGTTGTGAGGTTTGTTGGAAACTAGGCAAGTGGGGTTTATATCTATATCTATCTATCTGAATGATGTCCAGTGTAGGAGAAAGAAGTCTGTTGGAGGCAAATGGGAATGTTGCAATTGGCCAGCTTGAATAGGATTTATTTATTTATTCAGCAGTTTTGTTTACCGGTCTTCTCACCTCCATTCGAGGGACTCAGGCCGGTTTCCAACATCAATATTACAGACAGTCATTAAAACATCATATTCTAAATCATTCTAAAACATTAAAATAGCAAAATACAATCATATAATTACAGTGGTCAGTCGTCATAAAAAAATCATTATTCGTCGTCATCCATCCATATCACAGGATCATGGCTCATTCGTTGAATGCCAATCCCCAAAGCCAAGTTTTCACCAGTTTCCTGAACGTTAAGATAGAAGGGGCAGTTCTGATCTCCAGTGGAAGGGAGTTCCAGAGTCGAGGGGCCACCACCAAGAAGGCCCTGTCTCTTGTCCCCACCAGCCGCGCCTGTGAGGCCGGTGGGATCGAGAGCAGGGCCCCTCCAGACGATCTTAGCAATCTTGATGGTTCATAGGGGAGGATACGTTCGGACAGGTAAATTGGCCTTGCAGCTTCAAAGCCTAGCTGCTTCCTGCCCGGGGGAATCCTTTGTTGGGAGGTGTTACCTAGCCCTGATTGTTTCTTGTCTGAAATCCCCTGTTTTCTGAGTGTTGTTCTTTATTTACTGTCCTGATTTGTAATATTGGTAGCCAGATTGTGTTCCTTTTCATGCTTGCGTCTTTTCTGATGAAATTGTCCACATGCTTGTGGATTTCAGTGGCTTCTCTGTGTAGTCTGACATGGTGGTTGTTAGAGTGGTTCAGCATTTCTGTGTTCTCAGATAATATGCTGTGTCCTGGTTGGTTCAAGGAACATGAAAGGCACTGCAGACTAATCCAACCAGAGATGTCAGCCGTAGCAGAGCACTTGATGAACCAACCTGGACACAGCATATTATTGGAGAACACAGAAATGCTGGGCCACTCTGACAGCTACCATGCCAGACTACACAGAGAAGCCATTGAAATCCATAAGCATGTGGAGAATTTCATCAGTAAGCAGCAAACCATGAAAATGAACAAAATCTGGCTACCAGTATTAAAAAAAACCTCTAGAATCAGGATAGTCAATAAAGTGCAACACTAAAAAACAGGGGAATTCAAGACAGGAAACAAACACATAGGGATAATTTACAACAGTATAACAAACATAATATTCATATTTTTCAAAATAATTTGTCAGATTTTCCAACGGTCATGTGGACACACTTCAATATATCCATTATTATCCCATGTGAATTCAAGATGTGATAAACGGGTCTTGGGAATACAACAAGGTTCCCGGGTGTTTTTATGTCCTTGTTTCAGGAGTAGCATCCCTTCTTCAGGTTTCTTTCAAGGTTCCTTCATTCATTTGTTTGCAATAATATCTTCTGAGGCGTTATAAACTAATTTTATAGAGGACAAAATAATAGATATGCTAACCAGTAGCCAGTTACAATATGATAATCCTTATATAAACAATTTGATACAATAATGTACTTACTTCCACTTGCTAAATGAACAAAAAACACTAAAAAACGGAGGAATTCAAGACAGGAAACTATCAGGGCAGTTAACACCTCCCAATAAGTAACCCCCCAGGCAGGAAGCAGCCAGGCTTTGAAGGTGCAAGGACATTCAATGCTAATCAAGGTGACCAATTTCAACATTCACACTTGCCTCAGACAAACAAGAGTTCTTTCTCCCATCCTGGACATTATTTCACAGTTATATAACCATCACTTGCCCAGTTTCCAACAGACCACACAAGCTCTGAGGATGCCTGTCATAGATGTGGGCAAAATGTCAGGAGAGATAGCTTCTGGAACATGGCCAGACAGCCTGGAAAACTTACAAAGTCATCATGTCAGAAGCGAATTAAGAATACAGTTGCAATGTAATAAAAAACCACATATGTTAAAAACTTGCCATGATGCTAAATTTTCTTTGACTAGAAGCTGGCTACTTGGAGTGCCTCTGATTTTGCTGTAAGAAGGTCCTCCATTGTGCATGTGGTGGGACTCAACAGCTAGCTGCATTGTAGTCAGTGGTCTGTGGTTTGGTCTTCTCTATACTCGCATGTCACAGACTCCACTTTGTAGCCCCATTTCCTAAGATTAACTCTGCATCTCGTGGTTCCAGAGCACAGTCTGTTCAGCACCTCAAAGTCGCCCAGACTTCTGTGTGCCCAGGAGAGAGTTTCTCATCTGGTCTCAGCCATTGATTGAGGTTCTGGGTTTTAGCCTGCCACTTTTGGACTCTCGCTTGCTGAGGTGTTCCTGCGAGTAAGATCTGTGGATCTTAGGAAGCTGTATCTTTATTTAAGACATTGGCATGCTGGCTGATATCCAAACAGAGGATGAGCCGGAGATGTCCATGCCTTGGTCCTTTCATTGCTGGCTGCTACTTCCCGACAAATGTCAGGTGGTGCAATACCAGCTAAACAGTATAATTTCTCCAGCGGTGTAGGGCGTAGACATCCTGTGATAATGCAGCATGTCTCATTAAGAACCACATCCACTGTTTTAATGTGGTGGGATGTATTCCACACTGGGCATGCATATTGAGCAGCAGAGTAGCAAAGCGCAAGGGCAGATGTCTTCACTGTGTCTGGTTGTGATCCCCAGGTTGTGCTACTTAGCTTTCATATATTATTTGTAGCACCCACTTTTTGCTTGATAGTCAAGAAGTGCTTCTTGTAAGTCAGAGCATGGTCCAGGGTAACTCCCAGGTACTTTGGCATGCTGCAATGCTCCAGTGAGGTTACTTCCCAGGATATCCTCAGAGCTTGAGATGCTTGTCTGTTCTGAAGATGAAAAGCACACGTCTGCATTTTAGATGAATTAGGAATCAGCTGGTTTTCCCTGTAATAGGCAGTAGGAGCACCTAAAGCTTTGGAGAGCTTCTGTTCAACCATTTCAAAACTCTCTGCTCACTTGAGTGGTGATGGCACGATTGTCAGCATAGATGAAACTCTCTGTCCCTTCTGGCAGTGGCCGATCATTTGTGTAAATGTCAAAACATTGATGGAGGAAAAACGCTTCCCTGAGGCAGGCCGTTCTTCTGTTTTCGCCATCTCCTTCTCTGGCCCTGGAACTCAACAAAAAAGCTCCTGTTTTGTAGCAGATTTCCTATGAAGTGGGTGAGGTGATAATCCTCTGTGATATTATACATTTTCCTCAGGAGGAGACAATGATTTACAGTATCATAAGCTGCTTGCAGTATGCAAGTCAATTACTGATTAGATTTACTTCAACCCTGTGACTGAATAACACCCCTTGAACTGCCCTGGCTCAATGCTCTTGAATCCTGGGAGTGCTTGTCTTATTATTATTATTATTATTATTATTATTATTATTATTATATTTATACCCCGCTTTATCTCCCCTGAAGGGGACTCAAAGTGGCTTAACATAAAATGTGAACACAGCATTTACAATATACAAATATTAAAACAGAATTAAATATAAACAGTATTAAAAGATTCACAGATAAAACCAGTCAAACCTATTTGATGGATATTCAAAGCTAAAATCACTGACCAGCGTACTAGGGGCACCTCTTCACTGTGGCATTAATGTAGCTTGAGCCCACTTGAGCTGTCATGGCTCAATGCTATGGAATCCCAGGAGGTGTAGTTTGATGGGGCACCAGCACTCTTGGGCAGAATGGCGCATAAAGCTACAGCTTCCATGATTCCATGATATTGAGCCTTGACAGTTCATGAAGACTAGGACTCGGAGCAATGGGTTCAAATGGCAAGAAAGGAGATTCCACCAGAGCATTAGGAAGAATTTTCTGAAGTGCTGTCCAGCAGTTGAACTCTATGCCTCAGGGTGTGGTGGAAGCTCCTTCCTTAGAGGCTTTTAAAATAAAGACTGGATGGACATCTGTTGGGGGTGCTTTTATTGTGCTTTTTCTATATGGCAGAATGAGGTTAAACTGGACGGCCCATACAGTCTCTTCCAGCTGTGAAACTGCATTCATTCCAAAGTGTAGCTGCACCCACAGAGATTTCCACTGGAGCCTGTTTGTCATTGAGTTTTGCACCCTTCTGACCTTGACTGCCTTCATTCGCTCCCAGAAGGCACTCGTCCTGCTTTCCTATTGCCTTCAGCTCTTTCCAACATCATTGTCTTTGCCAGTGAGTCATATTTTCTTCCAACATGCCCAAAGTATGGTAACTTCTGGTCAGCTCCAAAGAGTTGCGGCAACCTTGACTTGCTCTAGGACACATTTGTTTCTCAGTGGGAGTCCATAAAACTCTTACTCAGCACCACACTTCCGGTTCCCGTCTATTCCTCTGGTTCATCCAGCATTTACTATGATTCTGACAGTTCTTTGACCGTTGGAAATCTTCCCTCGTCTCCCAGCTGCTGTTCAGAGTCTCCATTTTGATTGATGTCTGAGCCAGAAAATCTTTTTAACTGTTTCACTGTCTCCATCCTGCAATTTCAAGTTACATAAGCCTTTGGTGGCTGTGCTTTTTGTCTTGTGAATTTTAAGCTCTGAG